TTTTAAGGTGTTACACTTTTAGCTTCTAAATCAATTTCCACACCCAATCTTGTGGAGTAGTCATAGAAGATATAAGATACTGGTAACCTAATGCCACGGTGTACGTGCCCGAAACATCACCATCCTAAGCAAAGGAATCATGTCCAATCCAAGAAGAAGACCACTACAACCTGTTGATACGATCCACAATTTCTAGAGAAAGATAAGTATGTAATGAATTAAATTGCCATGAATTATCCAACTAACAGTGAGCAATTCTCTTATCATAGTCACTTATGTGGACATATGGCACATGACGACATAACAGTCCAACACCCAGCCAATCCTCATACCACAAAGATGAATTACTTGAAGCAAGATGTGGGTTAATCCTTCCCAAAGATATGACACAGCCTTGACAAGACTCAACCAAACCTGTGAAGCTCCACGCATTCTCTTGGCACAAAATATGGATTCACGATCAATCCTATTGCACACTAATTGAGGGACCCATAAGGATTGTATGCATTACACAGGCAAGAAAGTGATAGAGGACTTGATAAGACATAACTTCCTGGCTTTGTTGAGCAGCTTACCCTTCTAGGAGGCAAGCCAATTGGTAACCTTGTCCACAATATGGTAAAAATCAAAAGTCCAAACTCGTCCTTTAATCATGCGAACACCCAAATCTTAGGAGTTAGTCACACTTCTGAGTTGCAAGTTACCAGTGCAGTGATACATTTTACTACCAATACTCTTGTAAAAATAACTTACAAAAAGGTTCTATTAAGAGAAGTAAAAAAGGGAGAAAAAAGTAACAATTAAATGAATGATGCAATAAAAAATTTTTTATTAAAATTTATTATATCTATAAAACACTTTTTATTGCATTTATATATTTGTATCAGTTGGGAAAAAATCATATAAAAAGAAAATAAAAATCTAAAAATTCAGCTAAGAAAAATAAAAAGTTTTGCTTAAAAGCAAGAGAAGCGAGAAAGAGTGCGTGGGAAACAACTACGTTTTTGTTTAAACGAATGTATGTTGGAAGAATGGAACAAAAATGTACTATATTTAGATGACTAAACTAGCATTTTAGTCATTGAGAGAGTTTGAGTCCAACATTTTAATTCTTGAGACATTTAAAATATCACGTTAGTTCGCAACTTCTTTCTCTGTCATGTATTTTAGTCCCTGACGTTAGACCCTATTAAAAAACTGTCACAGAAGGCTGAGTTGTCATGTTAAGTGCTACGTTAGAATCCCAGTTGGCAGCAACGACGTCGTTTTGGAAGCTGGCGTGGTACAAATAATTGCAAAACGATGTCGTTCATTGAAGTCCCTTTTGCCCAAATTGAATCACATATTTCCTCATTGTTGTCGAAGAACTCTACCCTAAGTCCATGTAAAATCTCACCCAAATGCTTGTTCATAGTTGTGTTTAGGGGTGAAATATTTAAAGATTGAAGCTTGTTGCAATGGAAGAAGGGTCAACAGATGGAGAATTCAGTAAAAAAAAAAAATTCTTAATTCATTGAGTCATTTTTTTGGTTTGGGAATGAAGAACTCTAACTGTTCAATTTTAGATTGATGAGAATGTGGCTCGCAAGATTATCAACCACACGTTTCTTCGTCACCCCAATATAATTTGTTTCAAGGAGGCAAGGACTTTATTTGCTTACCTATTGGATCACTTTGTATTAAATACTCTATATAACTAATTATTTGATCACATTTCAATGGGGCTTTGATTTTGCAGGTGGTTTAGCAATAGTAATGGAGTATGCAGCTGGAAGAGAGTTATTTGAAAGGATATGCAATGCTGGAAGGTTCAGTGAAGATGAGGTTGATCTTTGAATTTTCTGGTTTATCTCACTCTTTCGGTTTTAGTGCTATTAATATTGTAGCCATATCTCACTTATTTTCCCCTTTGATTGTTCAAGCTAGATATTTCTTTCAGCAGCTGATTTATGGTGTCCATTATTATCATGCCATGGTATAATCATGCTTAAGTTCTTGAAAAATTATTGGACTTTCTATAGTCAAAACTGTACAAAGTGAGAACTTATGCTTTTACTCTTCTTTTGCAGCAAATATGCCACAGAGATTTGAAGCTAGAAAATACCCTCTTAAATGGAAGCCCTGCACCCAAGGTATTGGATTGAATAACATCTAGTTTCTATGTTATAATAATATGTTCTTTAGCCTTTATATTTCTGAATGTTTGTTATTTGTGGTTTAATCGTCTTTGCTTCATTCACGACCCAAATCAATTGTTGGAACTCCAGCTTATATAGCACCAGAGGTTCTTTCCAAGAGGTTAAACATCTACGTATAATGAAGTTACTCATTACTTAGAATTGACAGGGACTTAATTGCATGAATAATAAATCAGTTAGGGATTTTGACTTAATTGCAATTATTTGTGCCACGCCAGCTTCCAAAACAACGTCGTTGCTGCCAACTAAGATTCTGACGTAATACTTAATGTGACAACTCAACCTTATGTGACGGTTTCTTAATGGAGTCTAACACCAAAGACTAAAATGCATGATGGAGAAAGAAGTTACAAACTATCGTGATATTTTAAATGTCTTAGGGACTAAAATGCTGGATTCAAACTTTTCCAAGGACTAAAATGCTAGTTTAGTCATATTTAAATGGAGGGAGGCTAAAAATGGGCGGTGCGTTGGAATGAAAAAGACGCGTGAAAGAAACGACGTTTACTACTACTCTCCAAATGTCAAGACATTATTCAAATGTTGTTATCCTTTAACTAGCTATCTTTAAACAGACAATTCAATAATATCAACCACAAAATACAATAAAAATATTTTTCATTTTAATTGACTATATTTTGTCAAAACTGAATCTTTTTATGAATTATAACAAGCTTTATATTCACTTTTAAAAATTCTTTCAATTTAATCCAAATTAAAATTATTTAAAAAATAATAATTTCTCATTTATTCGTACCGATTCACATATTTATGAAATTAAAACTATTCAATTATTTTTAAAGAATTTTCTTTTAAAACTATTTTTTAAGAATTTATTTATTATTTAAAATTGCTTATAAGTTTATTTATTTTATATTAATTAAGGTTTCTTTTGTATATCATATCTTTTCATATAAGTTTTATGTTTTATATGAAAAATAAATTTTAATTAAAAATAGTACAGGTGACAAAATAATTTTTCTATTATCTTCTAATTAAATTTTTCAATAAAATATATATTCAATTTAATTAATTTAATAGCTCATACAATACATATATATAATTTTAAAATAATTATAATTTAATAATTAAAAAATAAATTTATATTTTATAAATAATTATATATAATAATAAAAAATTTAAAAAATAATTCTTAGAAATTTGTTTATTACGTAGTTTTAAGTTCAAATTTCATAAAATATAATTATATTAAATACTTTAAAGAAAATTCTAAAGAACATCTGTAGTGTAGATAAAAAAAAAGATTAATATTATATTTTAATGATTTTATTTTATAAAATCGCGATGATAATATAATTTTGTTAAATCCTCTTTAACAGCACGTGGTGTTATTACTTTCAAATGAAATGAGTGTTATAGTAATTTTTTAATGTTTTTTATGCATTCTTTTATCATTTTAATAAAAAATTATACATTATAATTTAATTAAATAAACTTATATTTTGTGAATATTAAGAAAAACGTTATTCTTTATAAATTTATTTTTTATGAACGAAAATCAAATAATTTATAAGAAATTAAAATAATGAAAAAATTAAAATAAATATTACAATATTAAAATATCAATTCTTAAAGTAGTATTTCATAATAACAAGAAAAAATAAAAATAAATAAAAGCTAATAAATTTGAACACTACTTCAAGTGACATTTTTTAAAAAAGCTAGTAGCTAAAATTACATCTACAAGTTCCTAAAATAATTCAATCTTATCAAATGGATTTATTTTGATCAAACAAACACTTAAGCTTGTAAAATAAGCTATTAACTAATTTGAAATGGTACTAAAAGTTTTACTCAATGCGTTCTTGATTATTAAATGGGGACAAACACTCGTCCCACCAACACTTAGTTTCTTGCACGAGTGCCTTTAATGTCTTGATGCTTAAAATTGAATTAATATATATATATATATATATAATACAATGTTAACATATAATCGAGGAAACATTTAATGGTAAAGTATATTTTAAAATTTTAAAAATATGGTTAAATTAAATTATGATTTTTATTTTTTTTAGTTTTAATTTTCATAAATTTGATTCTTTTTAAATTATCATTATTTGTTAATAATATAACATGTATTTATATTTATCGCACAATATGTCGTTTTAAAAAGTACTCTAAGGTGTCATGTCACGTTACCACCATAAAATAATAAAGTTTAAAAATAAATAAATTTTATAAGTATCAAAATTAACAAACTTAATGCATTAAAATTTTAGTCATATTTTAAGAATAAAAAGTATATTCAAGTCAATAATTAAGTGCTAGCTATGCATTAACTTGGTGTATTTAAAAAAAAAACGTTGTGCATGTTTTAATTAAATTTGACGTGGGTTTATATGCATTTGAGTTTTAAAAAAATAAATTTAAACTATATAACCAATAAATTAAGTAAAAATTGATAAAATTTGAAAATTTTTATAAAATGCAATGTTAGAATTTAAAGGAGAAAATTTAATACTTTTTTTTAGGTGTAACTTAATAAAAGTAGTGTATGCTGTGGTAACACTTGTACAAAAATAGAAAATAAATAAACTAAATTTCTCTTAAAATTTAAAATCAATTTATAAGCATCAACTTTTGAAAAGTTAAATAAAATAAAAATATATAAATTAATTTTAACTAATAATTATCTTGTTTTTATTTTTATTTTATAAATATTTATTGATAATTTTATTCGAATTGAACATAATGAATAATATAATGTGATTAAAAAATTTTAAAAAATAAAATAAAAGATAGCTAAAAATAGTGTATAAAATTGAAAAATCAGAATATTCAAGATACATGGTTCTCCCTTAGTGAAATGGGTTCAATTATCAAGGAGCGAATGCGATCGTTGGCCGCACTATCTGGGGCTCCATGCCCATCTCCATTTAGGTATGTGCATTGAGAAATTCTAGCAAGATTCATTGCAGTTTCCACGAATGACTTTGGAAATGGAGAATATGTGACTCGATCTTTGTTCATCTTCTTCCAAGTTTCATCAAGCAAACCTTGGATATTGATGTAAGCACTCTCCTCACTAACTCCACTTTCACGCATGCAGAACAAAATCGAGCTTGCTCCTTCACCTCTATGTAACTCCGCCTACAAAATTACTTACAACATCAATTAATTGCTTAGATGTTCATGACCTTAATTTGTTTTAATTAATCCTACAAAATCACCTTCGAAGTACCCAAATCGTTGCAAAGCCGAAAAATAATGGATGGCCTACGCAACAGGTCATGGTAATTTTCTAGGGAATCAAGTGCCTCCTTAGTGATGTTGGGATTCAACAAGAAATATGCATGGATCAGTATTACTACACCAGACACTGACACCCAGGCATTGTTAAGGTAGTTGTCGAATGTTGGCAAATACTTATCCCGACACCACTTGGCTTCTAGGAGGAATGCTTTCAACATTACCGACCACTACAATTGAATTAGGAAATACATTAAATCGAAATTAATTAATAATTACTCACTTATATAAGGGTTTATCTTTAATTATATATTAATACCTAAATGATTCATGTTATTCTAGTTAATTTTAATTATATGGTTGAAATTTCTTTGTTTCACAAACTCTCATCTCGTTCTAATGGAAGTAGATGTTACCGCCTTGGTGAGGTATGGAAGGATATCATGTCCTTGGTTTTTAATTGCGTCATAAGCCAATCCGTTGACAGTGTTGTAGAGAGCTAGGAAGCATATTTTCATATACTCTGGCAGGACTTGAACAGCTTTAATATCCCAACTGAAAGAAGCACCATTATTTAATTAGTGTACTAACAAATTAATAATTAAGTTTATGAAGAATTGATACAATTTTCGAACAAATTAAATAGTTAATTACCTTTCTACAGCTTCCGTGAAAAGTTCTAGTTCATCCAAGGTGCCATAAACATCATAGACATCATCAATTGTAGTTATTAGAGAGGTAACTTTGGTTAAACCTTTACGAAGATCACTGAACTGAGGCTCAAAGGCCATTCCCATGCTCCAAAAGAAACACTCCACTAGCCTGTCCCTGCTAAAGCTTAATTTTGGAGCTAGTCCCATCCGGTTCCACCACCTTTCATAAATTGGTTTTTAGTAACAATGTGATCAAATTATTCAAACATGTAGAATTTAGCTTTCCTATAATAAATTGTTGAAAAGTTATTATATCAATAATGATGTGTCACTTATTATCTTTATAAAAAGAATAACTTTTAATAAATGCTCAGTTTCTTGTCACCCTAGAAAGGTGAGAATAATGTTTATCAGTTTCTTGTCTTTTAGTTTGCAGCTTTAAGTGAAGTTTCTTTTATTTGCTGTGTTGGCCACGAATGCAGTCCTGTACAACATCCAAGGCTCAATTGCACTAACTATTGTTATTATCAGATTTCTTTAACCATCTTCAATAATGTCAAATAATTTATTCTTTTAACCCGCAATTTAGTCCCATCTTTTAATATTAATACAAAATTATAAGTTAGAACTTTTAAGACTCTGCCTTGTGGGGAATATAAAATAGAATGTTGTAGCAATAAACCATATTAATTAATTAGAATTAAATATAGCTTAATTCAGTAATTAATTTCTAAAAATATCAGTTTTTTAGTTTTTATAAAAGTTTTATTCAGATAATTGATCAAAATCACATTTTTTAAACATATGAATTAAAAATGAATAAATTTTTTTATAAAAACTCAAACAAAAATTTGACGATAGTCTTAAAAATTAATTGCTTAATTAAGCTAAAAAATATTTATATGCTCACTAAAAAAATGCATGGTATACATATAGTCATTTTTAAAGATGTTAATTTCTCACCAAACTCAAAAGTCCAAGAGGAATGTTATATTTAAGGTCTCAAAGTTGGAGAGTTTTTCATTGTACATGTGGGAATGGGGTTAAATATCCCTATAAATAGATTTGGAAACTTCATACTCCCCCTTTTATGGAGGCTCATCTCCGATAAAATGTTAGAATAGTTTTATTTATATAAACATATTTGTAAATTTTAATAATTTTTAAAAAAAATACATTACATTTAAAATAAAATTTAATGGTTTCAATCTTTTATTATTTTTAGTAATTTAAGTAAAATATCAAAGAAAATAATTTAGAAAGCCCTTCCCACGGTTCCAAATACTACTGAATTTGGAGATTCCCGCAAAAAACGCATAAAAACGAAGAATGAGAATGGGGAAATAAATAGCCTAATGTTGAATTAGCTTTCGTTAGTAAGTATATAATTTTTAAAAAACTTATTAGTATAAATATTTTAATTTTTTATTAATAATATACTATTATATTTATATTATAAATAATTTTAACTAATACAAAATATTAATATATACCATCAATACACAAATAATAATTTAGTTCAATCTTTATTAGTATAAGCTTTCAATTTATTTAGTAAAAATTTAATTTTATTAACAAAAATTTTCTTAACACAATAATTTTTTGTCTGCTAACGAGTGACATTTTTTTATTGTACGTTTGAAAAATGGGGGTAGATCTTAGCATGTCTGGATGAGTGGTTTTATAATAAAATAAATATTTTTTAATATTTTCTCATTAAAACAAAGCAATTTTTTTAAAAATAAGATAAACCAAGCATACATTAAGTTTAAAGAATAAAAACGTGCTTTTTTGGGGGAAGAATGAATGTTTTCTGAGTTTCTATTTATATGTTTATCGAACAGTAAAAAAAAATTGTGACTTTTATGTAAATAAAAATTTAGACATCCGATATTTTATAACTATATTGTTTATAATATAAACTTGATTTTAATTAATATCATTTTTATGTAATTAAAATTATCTAAAACCATATATCTATAACTTCTCACTCAAATAGACCATTAATTTAGTCCATATACTTGCAATTTAAGGAAATTTAAAACTTTGTTAATAATTTAATAAATACTTACATACATTTCCGGCACAAACTTACCCTGACATTTCTTGAAGATCCCTTTGCAACTTTGACTGCACAACATTGAAATCCAGTTTGGCCGCTTCAAGCACTACCTGGTTTGCATCCCTTCTTTTATCATATGCCTCAATGTACCACCGAGCTTCAAGCCTTTGGATTCTACGATGCAGTGGAAGCTCCAAGGCATGTTTCACTTGTTCCAAAACAATACTACTGATTCTATATTTGTCAAGGTTCCTTAGATGGAAGCTAGTGAAAGCCTTGGCCTCATCCATAATATGTTCTCCTTCATAACTTAGAAAAGATGCCTCATACAAACTTAGCATTCCCTTCACATCTCTTCTAAGGCTTGCCTTGAAGTTACCCTTGTGGTCCTTGAAGCTCTTAAATATATCTACATCATTATAAACATGAATGAATTCATTGGTCGATTTTACATTCTACTTACCTGACCTAAAGGATTTAACTTTTCTAAAGTGAATAGACTTGTAAAAAAAATTGACTTATATACTGCTGATTTAGATTCAGAATATCTTATAACTATAACTAACTTTATATCAGTGATAAACAAGTTCTCACTCTTTATCTTTACATTTTTCTACTTTAAGAATTAATTAAGTTCACCTCCTAAATATGTATTTAATGTCTATAGTGTGTCTATATAATATACCTTCTGAGACATCATAGCCATATTCTCTAAGGAGCCTGAAGCTTAAAGCAGTTTCATGCAGGGTTCTATGAATAATTGTGCCATTACATCTTTCCAAAGAGAGAAACCTATGAAGGGCTTCTCTTATCTCCTTGTGAAAATGGTAGCTCAGGCCCAAGCGTTTCACATCTTCAATCAGCTCCAGTGCTGTCCAAATCTCTGCATTTTCATCCCTAATCATGCTCCTAACTTCCTCTTGCATCTTCCTCGCCATGTCCTCATATTTTACATCCTATTCATATATGCACAAAGAGCAAATCACGTGTGAGTACAATACATATTGGAAAGTGAAAGGGAGAAAATTAACTATCTATTAATTACCGCATAGTCATGCTTCAATGATTGCAAAAAATCGTAATTCCACAGGTTTGGTTGGTAATTGGCTGATTTTCTTTGAGAAACGTTTGTGCTTGCCATGCAGCAGAGGGTGGAACTAAATCTACACACAAAAAGATTAGTCCCTCTTGGTTTTCGATGTAGGCCAAAATTAACAAGTGAGATGGATGGAAACTCGATCAACATGGGGCTGATTAGGGCCATCGTGTGTCTACGGTTGGCTCACCCTTGCAAAAGTGAATTAATGCATATGATGGTGGGGTGATCACATTTATTTATAGCAGCCAAGTATTAATTAGTTCCGATCAAGCATCAATTAGATCACGTTTATTTGTGTTTGGTATTTTATATATGGAATGGCTACTCCAGTTTCAATTTTTTTTTATTTTTTGTTTTGTCTTGAGAGAGGGGAATGGGGTGAGGGTTAGTGCATTTTACGGGATATGGAGATCGAATCTCAAAGCCGATGCATGTGTCCATGTAGCTTTAACAACCGAAGTATTATAAAATAATGTTAATTTCAAATTAATGGCTATAACCAGTGCAATACACTTTTTACTTTTATAATAAAGTAGAATGGAATTAATGCAAGCCACAATATTATATAAACTCACCTTAACAACGTACTAGTTATTACTCACTCCAACCGCATTTCCTCACCTTAACATACTTATGATGTTCCACAAAAACATGACATTCTCTGCCTTTGAACCACCATTCATCAAACCGCACACAATACCACCCGCCTGTTTCCACCTCAGTCGCGCCTCAGAACTCCGGCCGCCATGGACTCCCCGCGCCATTGCACAAAAACCATCAAGATTCCGTTACAATCGTCTTAAGAGATATGTTCACAGTACACTGTTTTAATTGACGTGCTGTTTCATCCACTTTTTAGAATTTTAAAACATTTAATTTTATCATTTATTTTTTTTAAAAATAAAATAAGTGTATTAAAATATACATTATTCGCATTTCTTATTATCTTGCCGAGAAATATTTTTTTAGTTTATTTTAATTTCAATTTATATTATTTTCCTATCTTGTTTATTACATTAATAGCATTATTTATTTAAAAAATATTTAGTTATAATATTTTATAGATTTTATTATAGTGATTGCTTGTCATTTGAATATTATATGCACTTTATTATTTTGATAATATTTTCTTTTTGTGTAAACTTAAAATAAGAATATTTTTATCACTTTGACACGTAAGATAATAGTCAATTATTGACTAAAACTTTTATTAAATGCAGTATTAAAATCAGACTAAATTATAATATGTTTTTAAAATAATAATATTGACTATATGTAGTGTTCTTTTTGTAATATTTGTAATGCCTGAGTGAGTGGTGTGGTTGTTGGAATCTCGCAGACAACATGTGCGAATCGAAAGAAAAATGGGGCATTGTTATAAATGTGCGTGAAATTAATGACTATAAATAAAGTCTAAAAAGATTCCTTTCCACTTGGAAAAAAATGATCAATGATTTTTAGGCAAGAACGAATTTTCCTTTTAGCGTACAAGTTCAGTAAACAATTCAACAAGAACTTCGTATGCTGTGTGGATAATTTACAAACCAAGTAATTTATTACATATGGGGGTGAGTGAGGCACTAATTATCATATCTATTAACAGAGAAGAACAAAATTGAAAATGAAAATGGTTGTCTTTGGGGTGTAAGATCCTATTTGTTTCCCAAGTCATTAGGGCTTCGATTTTTCTTTGAAGATACATATCCTTCCTCAACAATGTTTAAATTTTCTAAAATTTTATTCAAGGATCAAATACAAAATTTTGCATGGAGACAAACATTACCAAATAATGGTAAAGAACCCCAGCTATTTCTTAATTTAAAGGTAAATCTCGTGCTCAAAACATTATAATATATTCATGGATCATTTAATAACTTACCATAAATAACATATCATTGAGTTAATATTTTTTAATGATTTTTTTCATATATTTTTTAAAAATGTTCTATTCTCTTTTAACGTGTGTGTATGTGTATACATATATATATATATATATATATAATGATATAAAATAATGTTTTTTTATAAGTAAAACTTAAGTTACTGTAAGAATTACTATAAAAATAATACTTTATTAAATAATTTTTTATAAATATTAATATATATTATCAATATATGAATATCACTCTACTACATTAGTTGTAATTATCAATCTTAAAAAAAAATTCAATAATTTAACTTTTATATGACATAAACTGTATTAAAAACTCATTTTAGCATTAAATAATTTCTTCTTGATAATAAATGATAATTTATTTTGTAGTGTCAAGTCATACTCATATAAATACCCTCTAGGACTTAAAGTATAATTCATTCAAGTAGTAATAAGGGAATAGTCTAGGTTTCGTTCAATGAAAATAATATAAAAGAAGAAAAAATAACAATGAAATTTAAAAGAAAAATTGTAGTTTATTTTTAATTCTCATTTTTTTAATAAAAATATTATATAATTTCTTCTACCTTTCTTTTTTCTCATCTAAAGTCGAACTCCGCGGTACATACAAATAAGCCCTATGGGGTGCGGGTTGCAGAGCAGGTAAGGGCCTCGTTTGCTGACCCAAACAATAGGGCCTTGTTTGGCATGAAAAGTGAATGTCTTTTTGTTTTTGGTCCAAACATGAATGTCTCAAGGGTTAGTTTGAAAGAAAATAATGCTTACTTCTCGCAACATACATAGACATACATAAAACTAAATAATATAATTAATAAAACGATGACGTAAGAAGGAACCAAACTTATAAATTATAATAGTGAGAATTATTTAGTGTTAAATGTATTTAAATTAATTATTTGTTGGTTGAATAGCCGTATTTTGAATCATACATTTCCCAGTGTTTACTTCTCATCAATGCAGTCTAAGATGAATGGTGGTTGATAAGTATGGCTACTGAGAAACGTCTCTTTTCTTTTACTTACATACACAAACATGCATGTAAACGAAAAATCAATGACACTGTTACTACTTGGAGAGTCCTAAGAATCTTTGGGGGAGGTTGAAGAAAAGAAGACAAGGGAGCAAGTAGCAACATCCAAAAATCTTAATTGACCATTTGCTTTTCAATTGTCATTTATTTGTGTCCGTGACTTATGATTGCGTTTGCTTCGACACGGGTATTTGTCTGCATTTGAGGTTTTAGACGAGGTAGATTCTGCATGCTTATTGCTTAGGCACCAAAATTCAACTCGCCTCCTGTTACCTTTTTTTTGTTATGTATCTTATTCGCAGTTTTATAAACGTGTCTTTAAAGTTAATGAAAAGTTATTTTATTTCTCATAATTTTTTTTAAAATATATAATTTATGGAACTTTTTATTAATTTTGTATTTATTACTTTAAAAAATTATACAACAATGTATCAGAGTTAAATACGTCAAACGATAAGACCATTTAACTTTTCTTAAATATAATTTCAAACTAAAACTGTGACCAATTGAAAAATACAGAGTTGAGTCTAATTCATTTGAAATATTTCCCTAGAAAGAGAGAAAAATTAATTATTTTTATATAATTAATATAATTATATATTAATTTAACACTAACTTTATTAATATAATTAAAATATTATTTATTTTAATAAATTTTATTAAAATAAATTAACGATTTTAAACTATAAATAAATTCTTCTAAATATATCTTAAAGATGTATATGTTATTCTTTCTTTTATATAAACATAATCTTTTATCTCTTTCCCTCTGGTATTTTAATTCATTTAAGTAATAAATAATTAAAATGTTATTTTTTTAATCTTTATTCCTCTGTTTCATGTTATATAAATATAGGGCGTGAACCTCTGCGAAACCCTGGTGGACAAGACATGTTGACGTCAACAAGCATGCGCTCGATCTCATTTTCAATGTTTCATCTTCTTTCTTTCTCTCTCTGCTCAGTTCATGGATTCCGCACAGACTCATGCATATACAAACATTTTTCTTTTTTCTATTTGTTTTTATTTCAAAGAAGGTTAGTAACATGTTTATTTTAATATATTTTTATTAAAAAATATTAAATATAAAAAATATAAATATAAAAATAATTTTTCATTAATAATAAAAAATATATTAAAAATAAGGGTAGTAGAAAACATGTTATTCTTTTTCTTTCTTTTTTTTTCTAGTTGGTGTACTGGGTCGTAGCTGTACGATCAGGATCAGATGCTGCGTCATGCAAACCTACAATGATGTCATTCACTGTTCTAGTATTGATCATTTTTATTCGTTTTTCAGTATTTAAATAATTAAATATTAACAATATACTTGTTTTTATCTCTGTTTTCTTTTCATTTTTTACATATAGAACTTAAAACTATATTTTAAAAATAAAAAATAAAAATTATCTCTTAAAAATCTTGCAAAAACATTTTTAAATTTTAACCTCTTGTGCAAGTAAAATATTGAATTAAGTATAAATTGTGTCTTTGATGTAACTTTTATGTTTTGTTTAAAGTTTTAAATATTTTTATGAGAGATAGTTTTATTTAAATTAAAAAATTATAATATTATTTTTAATATGAAATTTAATATGTGTTTTAAATCTATTTATTTTTAAAAGTTAAATATAGTTATTGAAACTAATAAGAAAACTATTATTTAATATTAAATAGTAATAAGATTCTCATTTAATGAAAATTTTAAAATTAATTATGTAAGTTGTTATTAGATAAAAGAAATATTAAGATTTCATATATAAGTTATTATCTACATCTATATTTATATGTAAATTTGACTATGTTTACTTATTATTTTATATATTTATAATAAAATTTATTACTATTAAACTTTAAAATGTTTATAGTCATATATAACGCTGATAATATAAGTGAATAAAATTAATATTAGTAGATGTTAAAAATAGAAATAATAAATTGATCATAAATTTTATTTAATAAAATATTATTAAAATGATCAAGATGAATGGCGGTGCATGTTAAAAATAGAAACAAAAAATTAGTTATAAATTGAATTTTATAAAAGTTTATTGAAAATTTTAAAATGCTTAGAGTAATGTATAATGTTAGTAACACACATGATTAAAAATGGATGCTAATACATTTAAAAAATAAAAATAATAAATTAACTATAAATTATATTTAAAAAAAAATTATTAAAATTTTTAGAATACTTAAAGTTACATATAATATTAGTAACAAGAATGATAAAAATAATGTTGTCACATAAACTATCATATAATATAAGATTCAACTTCTGTTTTTATTATCCTTATGTTTTATTCTAGTAAATTTGGTATAGATATAAGTTGAGTTCTGATATTATACAAACAAAATATAAGATTGTATACTGATTCTTTTAACATACGTGTGAAGGTAGTGGTTTGAAATATACTTTATATTTAACTAAGTTTTATTATTTTTGAAATGACAACTTGTTAATCATGTATGTTACACTATGTAGTTATAAATAGACTAATATGAATAAAATTATGAAATTAAGCATGCAGGTCCTAATTTTTAAGACAAAAAAGTTTATTTAAGCTATTAATTTTAAATTTAACAATTAAAATTTTATTATGTTTATTTTTTATGCAAATGTGGCAACTTTGGTTGGAGTTAACATGAATGCAATAACACAATAACACGTGAAACTCATGTTTTATAAAAAGAGTAAATAATATCTTCTTTTGCACTGAGTTATAGAGTGTTACGTTGGATACGGAATATATAAAAAAAAAAATTGTTTACATTGTTTTCATATTTTTATTGCTTAATTTTATGGATTGGTTTTCAGAAATTTGTTTGTTTTTTTAGTGTTTTCTTTATTAAAGTGTAACATGGTTTTTCTTTTATGCAAATTAATTAATTAATAGATAAATTTAACTTTAAAATTGTTTAATTCAAGAAATATATTTTATACAGCATACTAAATAAACGATCTTTTGTTACATTTAAAAACAATTATTTCTAATTTCCTTTCAAATGGAGCATAAACGTTTCTAAACAAGTGGCAATAATTGAATGGGCATTAATAAGTGAAAGTAAAATAAATAATTTAGACATTTGGAGCATACAAGGCCTAAAGATAGGAGGAAGTAAATGATGGGATTGAAGGACTGGTAATCTTCTGCAGAAGAAACCAAATGAAATAATGGAATGGTGGCGTGATGGGAAGATAGTGAATGCTGAAAAAGAGGAACCCTATTTTCACAAGTAAAAGCTTCCCTTCTGACGCTTATGTCACACAATTTTGCAAATTTTGGCATTCAGTGTGTTGCATCAAAAGGCCCCATATGCTATTGCCTTCGTATCATTACATCACCCTAATAATTTTACCTCTATTCCCACACTTCCATAAAACTACTGCAACATGCTACAATAAACCATCAATGCAAGGTTAGATTGTCATTTGTCATGGTGAAAACTCAAGACACAGTTCGTATTAAATAAAAAAATATTTGATTATTTTTATTTTATAAACAAAATCAAAGTAGTACTATGCAACTTATTATTTCATGACATTATATTTTGTTTGCTAAGTTATAATATGCTAAAAAAAAAATTTAGTTCATTTAATTTAGATTTATATAAAAAATTTATCTTAAAAAATTTCAAATTAATTAATTAAAATTGAAATAAAAAGACTTAGTTCAATTGCTTTTTAATTAAACCTATAAAACTTTATATTTTTACTCAAAATCCTTATAAATTGAATTAGTAACTTATTTAATCTTCTAATATGTACATTACTTTTCAAATCATTAAATTTTCTGAAATTCAAGAGTTTTATCTTTTAAAAGATATTTTCCTGTCTTATAAAATTTTGTTAATTTATTTTTTATATTTTAAAATGTTAACATTTTCAAGTACGATTTTAAGTTTAAAATTTATATATAAAAAATTATTATTAAAATTAACTTATTTTGATATTAATATTTTTTTTAATAAATGGAATTAAAAATCAAAACAATAAAAGTTACGGAACTCTACTAAGAATCTAACTGCCAATAAGACTAAAAAAAATTTAAAGACAAAAGAACTTCTTAAAAATAGAAAAGGAATAAATTCTTATAATCTTAATTTTGCTAACTCCTTAAATAAAATTATTCCTTGTATAATATATTTATAATTTAAAAAATAATGTTTTACCCATAACAAAGATTTATGTCATGTATAATGAGTTTGTATTTTTAAGAAAATTATTTTTTAATTTTTTTCTTTGTTATAGATATACGTCAGAGTTGATAAATATCTATGGTATGATATTTTGCAGAGTTACAACTGGGTAACATTGAAATGACGACTGTGCATTCTCGATTACAGTTATTGTACAATACGGCAAAAATCAAAGCACGTACAAATTTACGATATTACCAAATTGACGGAAAACAAAGATCAAAACAATATATTTTTAAAAATAAAAATTCATTTTTTATTTGTGCTATAAAATTTTGAATTGGACTCTCATAATTAGTTATGTATTGTAAATAATAAAAAAATTAAAAAGTCAGATTAATTTCGTTTACTTTAAAGAAATTAGATAGTATTTTTGCATTATACATGTATCATTAAATTAAAATAATTAATTTTAAACATATTATTCAATTATTTTGAATTTAATAGATTAAATATTAAAAAGTGTCTCTTTATTTAAATTAAAAAAATATAAAATTTTAATTAATACTGAAATAAAAAAAAATGACATGAAATAATATTTTTGTGAAAAATTAGTTAGCATGGCCACTTTGAGTAACTGCGTTGGTACAGTCCAGCTGGAAACGCCGTCAGCAAAACCAAAATCGAGATACAAACAAAAGTATGCCGTGAAAAACTGAACCCCTAACGTTCCTCATTTCAAAATTTTAACCACATCCTAGTTGTTCATATTTTTTATTATTAAATAAATTTCACGAATCATGACAAACAAAAATGAATTTATCTAACAATAAATTATTTTAGGGTTCTAACATTTTATCAATTCTTAAAGATTATTGTGAAACATGGAACCGAGATGCAAGAGATGCGCATGAGCGAACAGTATTCTTACGCACGGTGATGACATGAATTGTTGGCAGGAAAAAAGGATGGAAGGCTTGCCAACAAAGGCAGAGCTTTTCATTCCAACTTGGACAAGTACACCAATCACAACTCTATTGCCACCTTCACTTTCTCTATCCTTCCAACAATGCATCTTTTTTATGTCACCCCATTTCCCATAACAAAATATTTTCAAATATATAAATATTATTAAGATTTTGATACGGTCCCATTCAACAGTGAAAACGAGTGTATGAACTTAACTTAAGAGGGCTGAATCCATTTGAATGTTAAGATGGGGATGATTTTGATGTAAACATTAATGAGAATTTGATGACAAGTATGTGCTAATCCTAATGAACTGAAACTGTAGTGGGTGACCACACTCACGGTAGCTTGGGAGCATCAGCAATTGAGAAGAGGGAAATAGTGAACAGCTTTGGCCAGCTGTTACCGGCTCCATTTGCTTATTCTACGCAAGACGCACCACATCATCTCTACTTTACGTCCTTTTCTTGGTATTTGAATTCCATCCTGGCATCTGACGTGGCACACTCCTCCATTATGTGTAAACCACCTTCTTTCACAAGCCATTCTAAATACAATTCAAAATTATTTCTTTTTTTTCGCTATAAAACCCCCAACCTGTGTCACTTCTCCACTCAGCACCGCACTTCAGTTGCTCAGAGTAGAAGTGTAGAACCTTCACTCTTCTCACTGCTTACTTCCCTCTCTCTTTTCTGCCACAAATGTCTAAAATAATGTCTGGGTTTTTGGGTTTCTTTGTGGGTCTTTTGTTGTTGGTGGGTGCGGCTGTTGCTACCTCTGCCAAGTTTGATCAACTCTTCCAACCAAGTTGGGCTTTGGACCATTTCATTCATGAAGGAGACCTTCTTAAACTCAAACTTGACAATTATTCTGGTAAAACCCCCCTTTTCTGATTACCAACTTCAAAATGGCAACTTTGAACCTTATTTATGCCTTTTATACACTTTTCAGTGATGTTCAGAGACCCTTTTTTATTCAAAGTTCAAACTTCTTTTGCTTGTAATTTAACACCCCCCTCCCACCATGATAATGTTGTGTTTCTGTTACTGTAAAATTGCTTGTTTTATGTTAGTTGTGGATATTGATACTGGCTGGAACATATTCAGGTGCGGGTTTTGGATCTAAAAGCAAGTATATGTTTGGGAAAGTCACCATCCAGCTCAAGCTGGTGGAGGGTGACTCTGCTGGAACTGTCACTGCTTTCTATGTAAGCGAATGAAAATTATTATTCTAAATTAAATCATCTATTAAGGTGTATTATATTTAATCAAGAAAGTATAAAATATTGAATAATCATATTTTAATTTAATGTTTCTTAACAAATATTATGTCTAGTTATGAAGGTGATATTTTGTGGGATATAACCAAAATTAGTTGAATATCAATGCTATCTGGCATGTCAACGTGGAGTTAACCATTCACTCATTAGTCATCTGTGGAGATGCTCTACCTCTGGGACCTTATTCAATGCATATAGTTCAGATGTCCAAGGCGTCCTTCATTTGCCAAGTGCAACGATTTTTTTTCCGTGGAAAGGCTAATAATACGGCTATTAGTGGCAGCTACCTACTACTTTTACCCCGTCAATTACTTTACATCCAATTAAGTTTTGCATTTATTTCTATTGTCCCAGATTTTCCAATCCACGGACCAAGGCCTAATTAAATTCAATTGGGAACTTTATTTTCACTATGATCAACGTAATACAGTGCTGGGGGATTATATTGTTCTGTAGTTTATTTGACTTTTTACCTTTTTAATTTTCTGTTTCAATTATTGTGGAATCTAAATGAGTCTGACACGGTGATTTATTGATGTGACGTAGATGTCAACGGATGGTCCAAACCACAACGAGTTTGATTTTGAGTTTTTGGGCAACACTTCAGGGGAACCTTACTCAGTTCAAACCAATGTGTACGTGAATGGAGTGGGTAACAGGGAGCAAAGGCTCGACCTTTGGTTCGACCCCACCCAGGATTTCCATACATATTCTATATTCTGGAATCAACGGCAAGTTGTGTAAGCACCCATTGTCCTTCTTAATTGATATACTGCATGAATAAAAGGCTAAACGTAAATTTAGAGTTTATTTAAAACCAATGAAATTTAGTAACGAAAATAGATAAAAGAAAAGAAGGGTGTAAAGAAAACACATTTCTGAAAAGCTGTAAAGGAACACAAAATTGCCTGCTTTTTCCGAGTAGTGGTTGAGTTATCATTGGATTGGTTCTATTGTGTCCCCGTTGGGTCACACAAAAATAAACCCATAGATAAAGAGATGGAATCTTGCACAATTCATGCCAATACTCGTAATGGGTCTTTTGCAGAATACGTAGGTACATTTATGTCTTCTGCTCCTGGCGATAGTTTTGGTCCTGTTGACATCATTTTAAAAAAAATAATTATATGGTGCTTGTATTACTTTATTTATTTATTAATTTTAACTATTTTCCCTTATAGGGGTAGTACTCAAGTGCACCAAAATCAATCAATTGTACAAATATTCACATAAAATAAAAATTTATATAGGATATTTAATTTTCAAGTTTATGTATTAGTGGATCAAATTATGATGTTTGAAATCATGATCAGGTTTCTAGTGGATGAAACGCCAATAAGGGTGCACTCAAACATGGAACACAAGGGAATTCCTTTTCCTAAAGACCAACCCATGGGTGTATACAGTTCTATATGGAATGCAGACGATTGGGCCACACAGGGTGGTCGTGTGAAGACGGATTGGAGCCATGCACCCTTCATTGCCACCTACAAGGCCTTCGAAATCAATGCCTGTGAGTGTCCTGTGTCAGTGGCTGCGGTGGATAATGCTAAGAGGTGTAGTAGTAGTGAGGATAAGAAGTATTGGTGGGATGAGCCTAATTTGTCTGAACTCAGCTTGCATCAGAGCCATCAGCTTATGTGGGTTAAGGCCAAACATATCTTCTATGACTATTGCGCTGACACTGCTAGGTTCCCTGTCACTCCTGCTGAGTGTGTCCATCACCGTCACAATTGATCATGTCTTTTGTTTTAGATAAGGGAAGTAATGAAAATAGGATTGGGGGATAAATAGTGGTTGTTAAAAAGTTATGGAACATGTCCTTCATGTTTCAGATTGTAATATATTTGCCGCATCATAATGTGAAGTTTTAGTCTTTCTTCCTGTACAATTTAGTTCAACCTAATCCTAATCGGTGTGTATAAGTTATTTTATACTATAAATAATCTTATTTTAGGCAGATTAATAAGATTTTGTCTGTAAATTTAGGAAGTTATATAATTTTTAATAAATTTTCTAATTTTATTAATCTAGCTGAGGTAGAATTATTTATCCTTTTAAATAATTCATACACAGGGGACAAGTTTAATGGGTATTGAATTGGGTGAGGTAAATACAATAATATATAATTTCTACTTAAGGATATTGAATTGTCTTGGGACACAATTTAGTGTCTTAATCGTACTAAAGGGTGAGTATGGAAAATTGTGTATGAAGAGATAATATCGAAGAGAAGGGAATAAAAAAGATAAGATATATAGAATGGGGTGTGTCAAGAGAGCACAAAAACGGGTGTCCAAATTGGAACCATTTTAACAGGTTCTATTACATTAGATTTATTGAGGATTGGAGTGGCATTCATATTTCAAAGACTCCACATTGGCTTCGACTTGGCAATGGGACCACAAGCTCACGGGTTGGATACAGATTGACTTGCGGGGACCAAGAGAAAAGCATAGGGTTTGTTGAGAAGGAAGTAGGGAGTGGAGACAGGATTGTATTACTACTATGTTTGGAGGCAAGCAAATAATAGTTAAAAAGATTAAACGGAGCATTGTGTTGTGGACCAAAAAAATTTAAGGATAGAGAGGACTTTGCTTTGTGGGTTTGTTCGTATTTTGCAACCATTTTTCTTTGAAAATTTCTCTTCCTATCCAAGGTTTTTGCAACTATTTTTTAATAATTAAGAGAGGTAGAAGGAAAAGAGGAAAATGTGAGATAAGATAAATACTATGATGAAGAAATAAAGAGAAAAAATTTATACGAAAATGTTGTCAAAATATTTTGCTGGAATCGAATAACTTTTTTTGGGGGGAAACAATTGATCTCTTACTGAATTCTCAGCAATTTTGTAGCAGAAAAATACTCAAAAGCAAGGAGGAATTCCTGGCTCTACTGTTGTATAGTTCCTGTGGCTACTTGTCTGGGACAATGCAAAAAGGAATCAGATTCAATGATCAACAAAAGCAGAGCGGAAAAATCAGATGCATAAACAAATCTAAAAGCAAGGGGATAAGAATTTTTAACAGTGGCATTTAGAAAAGGGTTTAACGGGTATGATAATAATTTTCAAAGTCATCTTTTGTGAGGAATATGTTATGATAGGGTGGGATATGATTGTAATGCTTTTGAAGAAAAGACACAATAATTATGTGCATGACAATTTCTTTTGTAGAACTTTATAAATTAGGAACAGAAGTTAATTTTATTATATTTGTTTTCATTTGACTAAACGTGGCATTACAATTATAATAATGCTAAAATTCTTTCTTTTCATTGATAGAAATAGAGACAAATATTTAATCATGGGTCTTTACTTGGTAGGTGCATTCAAAATGAGCTATATGAAGTGTTGCAACTTGACAACAAACATGTGAAACCCATGCTGTAATTAAAGTGATTAACACCTTGTTAATATGCTGGGCCCTTGTGTGAGTGGACAATTAAAGTTTGTCTTTAAGAGGATAGAGGCTCGAAAGGTTATGATGGTTTCTTCGTTTGAAAAGGATACTTATGGGCCATCTTCAATGAAGTATGACAGAAAAGTTTAGGGGTCATTTTTTTCAACTCAAATTATTCAATTGAGGGTCCTATTTGGTTAAATGGCATGTCAACTTTTGGAGGTAAGAAAACGAGGACCGTATCTGTATTTCATTCGTATTCAATTGTTTTGTACAATGATCACCTGAAAGTGTAAATTTTTCATTATGATGGAGATAATTCATAGAGCATATCCAATCGTATCGATGTGACTTAACTTTTTTCTCACTACAATTATGTCACAGCTAATTTAAATTACTGTTAACAAATTAATTTCACATTTTATAAAAATTATAAAATAACATAAGTATTTAAATTTTGTCACATGCTATCACGACATAACTTTATCCATAGCACATATTTAATGCAACGCGAGATTAGTTTGTGTAGGTTTATGAAAATAGAAAGTTTTTTTTCAAAGAAGTAACACAGAATAATATGTCTGCATAAGAATCCTTAACATATATTTCACCGTAACCGATTTTGTAGTTGGGAGTTGCAATGGCTATTGGCACAAAGAGCCCTGTCCATTTGCAAGAACGAGTGCTTAAACCACATATCTTTTCAATATTAATTGCACTTATGATTCATAAGCTGTGATACCCAGGGTAAATCAAGGGGCGTCCCATTTCTTCCTTTGGTGTCTGCAAGTCATAATCTCTTTGTTATGTCTTGGTTTCAGTTCTTCTAAATTAAAAGGATTTAATTTTTTTAAAAGTGAACATGAAATCAAGTATGAAGAAAAAATAAAAAATTATCTACCTTTAAGCATTTAAATTTAATTTAATAATAGATAAATATTTACTTTCTCATTTTATATGTTTCTTTATTTTAGAAGAGTTAAATTTTAAATTAAAAAATATACTTTAAATGATAAGATATATTTACAACATTGATTAAAATATTAATAATTAAAAATATAGATAAATTAAACATACAAAATAGTTTTTTTTTTTATCAAACTTTAACATTAATTATAATATCAATTATTGATGATGTACTGATCTATCTTTTAAAAAGCATTTTTCTTATTTTAAACTAGTCAAATATTTGTCTCTTATCTAATTATCTGCCTTTACTAGAGAAAAAGGCTCCTCCCCAAGGCCAAGGACCATGGACTTGAGAAACAATAAAATGTGATAAATTGGAGAAAACAAATTGTGCATTGATTTGAAGACCAAATGATAGCCACCGACAACCTCCATATTTGATGACTCGACTTGGGGAAAATAAGACCAAAAACAAATGAAGCATCAACATCAATAATGACCATCGAGATAAGGATGGCAAAATGTTTTTTGGGGTTAAAAGTAAAACGAGGAAAGAGTTTCAAAGGATGGTGAAAAGAGAGCCAATGCAGTGAGTAATCAATTGAAATGGACATTGGACCCCTGACACCATGCATAACCAATTTTGATCACCCCATGAACAAATATTATTAGCACATACACTTAATCACTTAACTTCAAACTTTGTAACTTTATGCTGATAAACTTTTTTCGTGTGGCCATTATGTCCTAACCATCATTAGGTTCTGCAATTACAATAGCAAACATGAGCAATAAACAATAAAACTAATTTACATCATCTTCTAGTGCTTTGAGTAGCAAATTGGTGTTTGAATTAGAGGTAATGATAAAATGGCCCACGTACGTAACCTTAGGTTAGGAATACCATGATGCCAATGTAAATCAGTTATTCAGTTCCGAAGCTCCCTTTCAAATCCCATGTGTTAGAGAAGGAAAACGGGAAAAAGAAAAAGAAAGGAAAGTGCCCAATAGAGTTTATACTCGTTTATAACTGAGCATGGATTCCTGTAAATAGAGTCCCTAATATGAATAATATAAGAAAAAGTGGATGTGGAAATTTAATTATTGCAACGTTTGCCTACAGTTTATAAGCTTGCAGTGTTATTTTAAGTGATTCCTCAAAATCATACAAAGAAGTTTTACTAGGACTATTATGAGGTCATCTGGCCATCAATCCCGTTTGAATGGAAAAATTATTGAAAACTTTTGAAGTTGTAACCTTAGTGATTAAGATTGTTCCACATTCGAATTTTCATATCACAAAGATAACTTGTAGGAGTACCATTGAGCCAATGACTTATCCTTTTCAGCTTAATTGAGAAGGAAGAATTGTTACTTTACTTATAAAAGAGAAAATAATGGGGTAACATTCAAGATGTGTTCACCTTTTGATACTCTGCAAGGAAAATTAAAAACAATTTAAGATTAATCTAACTTTCTAAGCAATGATAGGCTTTTTATTTAAAAGAAAGAGAAATTATATAATCAGGCGACAAATTACTTTCGGTATGAAAAAGTAAATGCCATGCTAATGCTATGATGCTTTCATTCAAAAACTAGCTGATTCAATAGAAATTGGAAAAATAATTCCAATATAGGGTGAAATTATTATTATTTTTTAGAATGAAGTAATTTAGGCTCAATTTGGATGAATTTATGCATAAATATTTGTAAAAATAATACCATAAAGTAAAATAACTAAAATTCTTCTCATAAATTGAAATTAACTTAAATATATTAATTGTAAAAAATTATTGATTTAATTTTATAGTAAAATCATGATTTATTTTATTTTCTTATTTTTTTTCTCATAAATATTTATTAAAAAGTTAATTCAAACTAAATTTTAATCCTTTAATATTTCCTTATATAGTTTTATAAGTTATAATTGTGATATTGTTCTATACTTATTTCATGTGACAACCATAAAACACACGATGAAATAGAATATAATAACTTTCGTTATGAAGAGAATCAAACACTGAACTTGGATTAATTATTCCATCTTAGGCATTATATTCACATTCTTCTCTATTATGATTCCCCAACCCTAGAAAGCAAGTTTGTGCACTAAACAAACACTTTATATTAAGTCTTAATATCATGTTCAATAATTCCACAAAGTGTTGGTTTGGGTGGTGTTGTGATATAAAGTACCTAATAATGCCAACAAGAATTTTTCCTCACTTTTGGTAGCACCAAAGGAGGAATATTAATATTAACGAAAAGAAAAGGACAGATATATGATATTGATTTTCGAGATGGTATTTAGCTAAAGAAATGTCTACAAAATAAAGTTGGATCTTTTAAACATGTTGCATAAAATTTAATTTTATATATCCAAAAAGCTTTAAATACTTACTACAATATTTGAAAATTTGAGAGGATATTATATATTTTTTCTCTAAATTGACAGTTGTAATTTTTTAAAATTTATTAATATAAATTACTAATTATATTATTTATTAATATAAAATTAATATTGATAATTATTCTAATGCATGAGAGGATATAAAATACTCGTTTAATTTATAAATTACCTGTAAAAAATTCTAAAATTTTATTATAAAAGTTAAAAGTTCATGTTAATAATTTTTATATTAAAAAATAATTTTCAACTGTTGATAGAAATATTTTCAATATATAAAATAAATGCCGTATAATTAATACATTTAATGAAAATAATTTTAATTTAAATATAATTTTTGTATTTATATTTTTATGAAATTTTAATGCTATGATTTTTGTTTTCTATATTTTATAATTTATTTAAATTTAATATTTTGTTTTTAATGATAATCTGATTAACTAAAGATTATCATTTATTAAATTTTTTTATTGAATCACATTAGTAAGAGAGAGGAAATTAAAATATTAAATTTTTGAAAAATTAAAGATTAAAATAACATATTTTAAGTGATTAAAATTTTAAAAGATTAAAATATAAAGACTAAATAATGTTTTTATGAGCAAGGGCCAAAGGCCCAGAAAAACTACTCAACTAAAGATCAAGATTAGCTAAGTGCCCAACAAAAATATATTTTTAAGACTGTAATTGTTTTACTATTATTTTGAATTGTTGGGTTCGCAAAAAGCCTTTTTTTTGTCAAGGTCACAAAAAGCCTTGAATACTTGTAGTTTTGTTGCTGGTTTAGAAAAAAGCCACAAAGGGTCAAGATGCCTCGTGAACAATTAAAAGAAAAAAAAGAAGTAAAAGCCACAAATTATATATTTGGTTGAAGTGCATATTTATTGCTTAAGGTCTTTCTTATCCAATGAACGATTGACCAAAATACAAAAAGTGCATAATTTAAAATTTAAAAAAAAATGTTTTTTGAAAAAAAAAAAAGGCTCCAAAAGGAATTATTTCAACAAATCTACAAACACACTGTTATCTTCCATACAAATCTACAAACTCGAAAAACCATTCTTAAGTAAAAGCATCACATATTTCAACAAGACTTACCGTAATGTTTTAGATGACTCAATGTTCATTGTTATCATAAACACACTGTTGTGCTTTGAGGAATTAAAATGATAGAATTAAATTTAAGTACCCAAAAAATGACTCAGATAAATTAAAATATTTTATCCTAATAAATAAATTAAAATTGTATTATACATGGATTCACTTTTCATATTGATTGAGATTTTATATGGCTGGTAATTTCCTAGAAGAGTTGGCAGCTATTTTGATTGAGATTTTTTATTCACTATGCCGATGCTGTTCGAATAATTAATCTTTGGCACCAATGATTATTCAAACCATCCTTATATGGCAATGTCTTCTTCTCTGAGGTCAACCACTTGTTGCAGAATGAACACATGAATTGGAATGTCGAGTGTCCAACATGCACTCCACGAAGCTAATCAAGCAGTGGGGTATATTTTCATTGGAAGCACGTTCTAAACCTTTAAACGTTTCGTTTTTAATTATTTTCCCTCTTAAGTTATTGAAAAGGATCGTTTTATAGAAACAATAATAAATCTTACTATAATTTAATTTTCTTTCTTAAACATCACGCAATGGATGTGATGATACAAATCCAGTTACGATATCACTTTTTGCTAATTATATTATGAAATCAAAATATGAGAATTACATTTACTACCTCTATATTTCTTAAACTTTTCCATAGTAAACAACCACAGATAACAAACTTTTTGTCAGTGCTTTCATTTCTTGCTCAAGCATAAAATTATCAGATGTTGTTATAACATGTATATTTCCACAGTAAAAAGAATTAGTTCTACTGCAATAAAATCTAGTCCTCAGAACTGACACACTTAATTAGAGTACTATAGATAGTATAAACATACAACAACAACATTGATTATCAGAAATTGTTATCTAGTGTCACTAACTTACTATATATGGACACCATTTGACAATTATGGTCCAGATTGCAAAGAGAAAAAAGCATACCTGAAGGACTAGTTGAGTTGGTCATCACTAGTTAAATAGCATTATTTTAAATGTAGTAGTAAAAAGCATTGTCAATATGTTACACCACTATACAAATTCCCAATCCATTTGAATCCATAACAAAGCCAGTGGATGGGCTCTCATTCTTCAGAAGTCAGAAGATCATTTCATCTTTTATTTCATAAGGGTCACTGCAGAGATAATTTTCATACATTGAATAAACATGCATAATCTCCTGTCCTGAAATGATACCGTGAAAGAGTGCGAAGTTTAAAAAAGGAGTGAAGAAGAAATCCATCCATCAGGTGTCATGGTTTTCAATTGAAGGTTGCGACTATTGCAGAGAGTGGTGCTATTATATAGTCATAGTGAGTTGGGTTGTTTAAGATGTAAGAGGCACATTTCTTGAACAGTTTCTCTTTTTTCCCGAGTATGAGTTTTGTTTAACAATGTTAATTATAAGTTCTTAATTTCCCTAACTTTTCCTACCTTTCGATGAAGAGGATGGTTTTAAGATGAACAAATTACTTGTTAGCGAGTAATGTAGAAAACAATATATAGACTAATTTTATGTAGTTTACTTTTCGCAATATTTTTACAATCTGAGATACAAAAATTCAGGGCCAAAAGCTACAAGTTAATTATCACTGTAATTACATTCTCATCAACTAAATGACCTTACTGTCAATGCATGAAAACTAATTCTTCATCTTTGCATTCCCTGACTGCAATTTCCATTTGGTCATCGGCACTAGAGGGCAACACATCACAACAATGCCTTCTTGGAGCCTGCAACTAAATTCAAAAAGATAGTATATGAGTATTATCACTAATGTCAAGTCGTTTTCTTGATACTTTTCAAGGAATACTTGAATTTTCTATAATTACCTGCTTGATGTCCAGGTCTAGCTTATTTGTAATCACTTTGATCACTTCCAGTTTATTTGGGGATATCGCATTGTTTGAGCAATTTTGGAAAGATTTCTTGTAACTGCTTATGATGTCATCCTTGTTGGAAGACACATTGTCTAGGTAGAAAATAGTAGATCTCTTACAAGGGTCAGGGTGAAGTTCTCTTGTGTTAAAAGTATATGATTTTGCCAACATGTTTCCCTTCTTCCATTGCTTGAATGTTTCTTGCACTTTCAAGACATCTGACACAAACATACGGTTTGGAAATATTTGAACAGCATAGCCCCATGACACTGAAATTGTCCATGAAAACCATTTATCATAGCAAATTGCTTGTTGCAACATCCTCTCAGAATCAACATTTGCAGCTTCAAATAAATGATTCAAAGCTTGTGTAGTTGTCATGTTTGGAAAGATTGGATCTGTGTATTCCGGGTGATGCAGGGACAACAAGGGAGACATTGGATGTGCAGCCAATAGGCCAAAGGTGTTTCCTCGCAAATCAACCTAATCATATTTTATAATCACAAACATAAAAGATCAATTGTGTATTTGCTTCAACTTATTTTCAAAAAACAATCACTCTTTTTGTTAAATTGGCAGGAGAACTATTTAAAAAAAAAAAAAACAAGAATTACTTTCCAAGAAACAATCCTTCACCAAATATGCACTAATAAGGCTGAGAAGTGATTTTGGGTACCCAGTTTAATTAAGCACTTATTCAATAAGTTATTTTTAAATGATGACTTATACTATAGATTTAACCACAAAAATTATTGGGTTAACTAAAAAACTTATTCTGATAAGTTATACCAACAAAAAAAAATTTAAATACGTTACAAAAACGTGCATAGTTCAAACTATTTGTTACCTGGTGAAAACCCGGTTCATGTGTTAACCCGACTCCAAGCTCTGCCAAGCAAGAGTACACCCTGCCATCACTTCCATAAAGATGAGGGTACCTTTCTATACAAGAATCAAAAACCTTGACCAACACTTTAGCGAGAGAGGAGCTGATAGCAAAACCTGCACCACCAAAAGCCATTCCAAAACCAAACAACCGGTTCTGCTCATAAACCTCAGAGTGGGACCCAACATAGTACCAAAGCTCATGATCATATTTGGACAAAGTCTTCACCACATTCTCTGGGAAGAAAACCGTGTCATCATCTCCAAACACATACCACCTCACATCTGAATGATTATTCATTGCTATGGTCTCCACAACAACACGTGCCACGCGTATTGCTGATCTCAGTCCACCCTTGCAAGTGTAGCGGAACCTTGACGTGTCTTCAGAGACACAAAGAGGAGGAAGAGAAGTATCATTCTCATTCCCACCATGATCTTCATCTGGGATGCTATCCACAAACACACACCCCTTCATTGTTTTGTTGTTGTTCCACCACAACTTCACATACTCCTTCCTCTTTGGCCATGAACCTTTGCTTGAAGCAATCCCAAACACAAGATGATCAAGAGTGGTTGCTGTAGACACATCTTGTGATCCCTTATTCATATGAACTAGCTTTGCTGGCCCCAATAGTAGCACAGACACAACAACATAAAGGGCACAGAATGAAGAAGAGACTAAAATGAAGTTAACCAAAGACTTAGCTTTGGTGGGTTTGTGGAAAAACAACATGTTCACAAAGATGGATCAAGTCCTGTAGACCCAGATGATTTTTATCGGTTTTATACCTGAACAGGGTTCATGTGTTTTGTGTGACACAGGTTGTAGACATGTTTGAAGCATACAATTAAGCAAAGTGCAACCGCGATCCACGGCGAAAGAAAACTGCGAACTTTGACGGTTCAATTCAGTTAATATTCCATATGTGTAACATGGGTAGGTGTGTTAGAAGAAACTCAAGTGTCCCTTCCAATTAGATTTGCACGGTTGGCGGGTGAATATGGTTATTGGATTCAAGTAGTTGAATTAATATGCATTGACTATATGGTCTATAGACAAGAAAATGGAGAGAGAAATTGACGAGGAGAGTGAGGTAGGCCACCTGTCGTGTGAAGGTTCTATTGTTCCACTTTATGTTCTTTGGTTTGGCCAACGCATTCAGCTGTCACAGCAAAATGAATAGGTGGGCATGAAACAACCTTATGGTTCGCGTGTAACGTTAGTTTCACAATTTAGGCCTCAAACCACAATAATACTATTTATTGTTTTATGCTTTTACGCGTATGTTTCGGAAAATTTCCGAATTGTACGTTCATCAGTTTTTGTTTTCCTTTTTGCTTCTTGAAAATGATGGGTATATACTTCAGAAAAAGAACCTTTTTATATCTCCAACTCCGCAGTCATGCCAAGATTGACCAGTTCAAAATTGTCCGGACTATGCATTTGCTCTTATTTTTTACCATTATAGAAAGACCATGCATAGAGAAATATTAATATTAGCAATAGATGATTGTGTATATTCTGTCATTTTTCTAAAAAATCACGGAATGAAGCTGGAATTTCTAGTTTCTAATTATTTAAAAGGGAGAAAAGGACACATGAAATTGCTCGAGTGGGCATGTAATTTGCAAGGTACTGATGCAACGGCTTGGAACTTTGGAAGCCCCTGAGAACCACATTCTGCGAAAAAAAATGACTTTTCGCCACATAACTGGGAAAAAAATTTAACTTTATAATAGGAGACGTCCAGTTTCTCGCTCCAAAGTAAATCGCTTTCATACTTCATTCCATAAAAATATTGGAGAAAACGTGTAATATTATGTACAATTGCTGAGCAATAAACCGTTTGAAAAAGCAAATAAAACAAGCCTGGCAATTGAGGCAAATTGTGACAGATTGATCACTTTTCCAACGAAAAATCCGTCTGTGAGAGGTTGATCACCAGTAATATCTTGTCGCTATCTTCTGATCATTCTTCTTCTAGAAAAATGGAGAAGGATTTTTCTCTACTGCAAAGAGGACGGAGAAATACAAATTAGGAAAGGCAGGGCCTAAAATAAACACTTTGCTTAAATATATTTTTTCAACTCTACATTTTTATAGTTTTGATTTTAGCCCTCAACAAAAAAACAAAAAAGGTTTTAGTTCTTGATTTTCAAAATTCAACACTTTTAATCACTAGTGATAACATGGCCTAACAAAAGACAAACACATGACACAAAAAATTGACGTGGCAACTTAGTTAACCATGTTATCAAAAGTGACCAAAAGTTAAATTTTAAAAAATCAAGAACTAAAACATAAAAAAAAGGACTACAATCAAAATTCTGAAAAAAATATAAGAACCAAAGTCACATTTAAACATAAATATTTTAAGGTACACTTAGTGACATACTCTAGCTAGATGTCCTGTGGAGGCATTCCTTGTTCAATGATACAATTAAACTATATAAGAATTGAATTTTGCAAGGAAATTATTTACTTTCTATTCAACTTTCAAAGAAAGAAAATAATTCAAATTCCGAACAAAATTATCCTATCAAAACAATGAATAAGATCAACCTAAAAGAAGAAGTATCTGCCTCATATCAGCTTTAGCTTGGACATTCACAGCTCATGAAAATTTCAGTGCTTTGAAGGAAGGCCACTCCCTAAAGAATGCTACGATTGCATGGAGATCAGTTCGTCGATTTCACACTGTCTAATATGAAGACTGATTGTATCATTAGAAGATGGCAAAACATCGCAGCACTGACGACGTAGGGCTTTCATCTGTGATAAGGCAACATAAAGTTAGATAACTAAAATTAGAATGCAGATAGACCAGAGAAACAACAAATTTCAAATACACATTTCTAAGATTAATTAACAAAACATGTTCAACATCAACCTCCAGCTTCCTTGAAAATACTATGATCAGCTTGATCTGCGTAGCATTTGATTCAAAGCAGTTTCCAACATGCCTGCTGTAATTGCTCCAAATGCCCCCTTTATCAGATGTAACACTTTTCAGAAAAAATACAGAAGGCCTTTTGCAAGGATCTCTAGGATAGTCTCTTGTGTTAAACATAAAATTCGGATCAACTTTACTACCCCTCCTCCATGGCACAAAAGTTCTCTGCAGTGAAAGGAGGTCAGGTAAAAGTTCATTTCCTTGATAAACCTGGATAGCAAAACCCCAAGAAACCGAGAAAGTCAAAGAATTGGATCGATCATAGCAGACAGTTTGCTGCAGGATCCTGGCAGGATCTATATTTGCAGCTGCAATAAGATGTTCCAAAGCTTGTACTCTGTCCATGTTCGGAAAGAGGGGCTCCACCGCATCCAAGTGATGAAGGGACAGCAAAGGAGATAAAGGATGTGCAGCCAGCATCCCAAACAAATTCCCTCGCATATCTAACTGGCATTAAAAAATGACTAAATTATTTCCATGGAGTGTACCATTTTAACTGGATAAGTCAAAGGCTCGAACTGAAAGACAAAACTATGCTCCTTAACTATAGCAATCAAACAGCCTGAAGGAGATCCAGTTAAAGTAACCAAACTCAAAACCAAGAAAACACACTCAAGCACTGTCTATGATATTTATTAAAAACACTGACGAATTCATCATGATATTAAGCAGACAAACACTGAATGCACCTCCAATGTGCACGAGAGACAAAAGTAAAAAGTGAATATTAAGCAGACAAACACTGAATGCATCCAGCAAAGTTGAACACAATGTACATTAGCATGATCATTTTCATAAATCTCCAACATCGAAAAAGGAATGACCATCACAACGGCTGAGCCTTGCAGCACATTTTAACACTGCAGCTGAAAGAAAAATCACATCCCATAGCTAACCAAAGACCAACATAACACTAACCAAAAATTACACCCTATTTTCACTTCCCTCATCATTTCCCCCTTTTCCACCTACTCCATTAGGGAGAGTACAACTAGTCAGATATCTAATCAATCTATAAGCAACAGTGCATAAACATTGATTTTATTGTTTCCCATTACAAACATGCAAATAACTAACTAACGAACACAACCAACAGCGTATCCAACCATGCACGTGGATCAAAAGCACCGTTAACGCACAAAACATAACCAAAACGAACAGCAACATATACTAAGACAAAAATAAAATCCAAATTTATACCTGATGAAAACCAGGCTCATGGGTTAATCCAACACCAAGCTCAGCGAGGCAAGAATAAATCCTTGAATCGCTACCATACAAATGCCCATACCTCCTCAAACACGAATCCAAAACCCTAGCTAAAACCCTCGCGAGCGAGTAACTGATCGCGAAACCCCCACCTCCAAACGCCATCTCAAACGAGTACTTCACGTTCTGATCGTAGCTCTCCGAATTGCTCCCAACGTAGAACCACCGTTCGTGGTCGTACTTCGCCAGCATCCTCACCACGTTATCCACGAAGAACACGGTGTCATCATCTCCGAACACAAACCACCGCACGTGCGACTCATTCCGATCCACCACCTCCTTCACCACGCGCGCCACGCGTATCGCCGACCGGAGCCCTCCCCGGAACGTGTACGGAAACCCGGCGGTATCGCCGGAGATCACCACCGGCGGCGAAGAAGAACCGGAGGAGGAATTCAAAGGCAGCGCGTCGAGAAACGCGAAGGCGCGCGTGGTGTTGGGGGAGTACCAGAGGCGTAAGTAGGGTAAGCGACGCGGCCAGGAGAGTGAGGAGGACGCGATGGCGAAGATGACGTGGCGGCGCGTGGTTGGGGAGAGGCGTGAGATGAGAGTGGTTGGGGGTAACGTGGAAGAGGATGGGGCCCACAGGACGAGGAGGAGGTAAATATTAAGGAGAAGAGATAGAACGAAGAGGAAGGATTTGAAGGGTGGTGTTCGGTTTCTGAGGAAAGTTGAAGTGTAATTCGTAGGAGGCATTGTTGTTGGTGTTTCTGTGTTGTTGGAGAGTGGCAAGGTACTATGCTCCTTTTTTCTTCGGTGGAACATCGTCGTTGGTTACTTATATTTTTGTTACTATAATTTTACTAACTTCGATTTTAATTAAAGTTAGAGAGGGAGTGAGTGTGGAAGAGGAAGAGGGACAGTGACAACCGCCAAGTGACGGTTACTTTAAACTTGGGACGGAAGCAGGTGCTGGTGGTCCTTACTGTTCCTGTTACACACTCAGAAGTGCTTTCTAAAAGTACTTTTAAGGGTCCTTGTTCGAGTGTTAGACATTCAAGGCTTGTTTGAATGTAGACTCTTTCTTTTTAATGGGCCTTTTGGGCCAGCGATTTGTTGGGCTACACTAAACCCATAGCTTCCAATGCTATATATTTGTCATAAACAATCAAATCAATAAATATATATCTTATGATTTTCAAAAAAAATATATTGACTCGGTATAATGATCAAAATATCAATCCAACAAAAAAAATGTGAAATAGCTCCTTATGTATGTATCTTAATCCTTTATTTATTTTTTTTACAATTTTGGAGGATAATTTTTAGTTGTTCACTTCATCTTTTAGTATATTTTTTAGTTACGTGTATATGAAAAATGAAAAATAAAAAATAATTGTATACAATATTAATTTAAAATTGTTCAAATAATAAAATTAATTTTCTAACCCTTCTATCCCTCATCCCTTTTTCATGTAACTGACCTTTCGGACCTAACTCCTCAGTTTTTCCATAGTCCATCTAAGAAGGGAACAACAAGCCCATATGTCATTTATAGTACACAGTTAAAGCCACATCGCTCTTCTGATCGATAAAACAAACTGAATTTGTAGTTGATAAGTTAATTACAAATGATTAATTGAATTAGATTTATTTAATAAAAATAATTAAAACATATTAAATGACTAAAAAAGATATGCAACTTTATGTTAGTATAATATTGGAATTAAGTGAGGAGAGAGATTTTAAAATTTGTTTCTATGTATAATTTATTTAAAAAGCAAGAGTAAAAATAAGCCAACAATTAATAAATACATTTAAATTTTCATTTTACCTTTTGAAATGCTAAAATTAATAACAGAGGGATCAAATTTAGTTACTATTGACAATGATAGGTATAAAAAGATAAAATATAATTGAAAAACACGTTTATAATTATTCATTATTAATAGGTTTATTTATATTAAAAAAAGCTAAAGTGTAATTCATGATTATGTCAGAATCCAGAAAATTATACTTTAAATTAAGAAGAGATCTATTAGCAAAAAAATAAGAAGAGATCAGAGAGTATAATTAAAGCATATAAGGAGGAAAAAATAATTCACTTGTTTATTTATTCATTTAAAAATTGAAAAAAAATTAGGAGTTATTCGGTTTGAAAAATATTTTTTTATTTTTATTTTCATATTAAATTATAAAAAATACTTTTTTATTTTCAAATATTCATATAAAAATAATACATAAATATTTTCACTATTTATTGTATAAATGTTTAAAATTGAAAAATAAAATAAAAAACTATAATTAAAATATTATAAAAATAAAAATATTTTTTTAAAACTAAACGGATTATGTTTTCTGCGAAGGATATGCATACTTGGTGGTAGTTTGATAGCTGTATTCCTGTAACAATCTTCAATCTTATAAGCTTAAAATATTCCCATACACTAATATAGTGTCCAATACATAAAAGACATTCATTCTATTGCGTATAAAACATAATTTATACAATTAAAAATAATAATAAATCATAAAATTCCTTTATGCTAATGCTATCGATGAAGTTTAATTAATATGGAAAATTCTCCCTTTCATTTTTGGATAGTCACGTTAGTGGGTTCCATTTTTCTTTAATGTTTTTTCTATTTAACTTTTTCAGCTAAGACTTTTCAAATTTTAATCATTGTATATAAATCACAAGTCTCTGCTCCCCTAAACGGAATTATTTTCTACCCCAAATTTGCTAAATAACAAATAAGTTTTCCTCTACCTGTTCAATTACTTAGAATAAATATATAATTTTATTTATGAAATTTGTAATCTGTACGTGTTGATTTTATCTCTAAAAATTTATATATATTTAGGCGCAGTTTAATTAACATTAAAAGTAACTTTTTAAATAATTTTATTTAATAATTTTTATAAATATTAATTTATATTAATTCATTACTAAATTAAAAGTTCATTTTTTAAAATACAAGCAACCTTTGACTTCCAATCTATAAATATAAAATTTATTTAAATTTTGGCACGGATTATCAAATAAAATAATTTTATAAAAATTACTCTTGAAAAAAGATAATTTTCATTTATATATATATGTTAGTCAAAATTTGTAGGCACCGCTAATTTGTGGTTCAGTTTTTCAATTGGCACTAGCATGCATTTAATTTATGTAAGCACCGTCCGAAAATACATCGAATTGTCAAAATTCACTACAGTAAATTACTATAGCAATGTTGAAATTTTGAAAAATTATTGTAGCAGTTTTTTTGCTTATAAAAGGAAACAAATTAACGAAGGGAGCGATGTACATCATTCACGGATCCGTGAGAAAAAAAATACTGAAAGAAAATTGAGAGTGTTATTTTGTAATTCTTATTCCATTTTGAGAGAGTATTTATTGAGAGAAAAATAGAGTGATTTATTACTTTGTCCTCATAATTTTAGAGGACTTCTTGTACTCTTCCTTTTACATAGTGAAATTATTTTACTCGTCGTCGTCCGTCGATTTTTTCTCCGATTTGAAGTTTTTTCCACGTTAAAATCTTGTCTCTATTATTCTCTTTCTTCTCTTTATTTTTAATTAAATTTGATCCAGTCTTCCGCATTGCATTGATACCTCAACAAGTGGTATTAGAGCAGTTATTTAATTGGAAATATTAAAAATGTCTACCGTTACAAAATTTGACATTGAGAAGTTTGATGATAAGATTAGCTTTTCTATTTGAAAAGTCCAAATGAGAGCCGTTCTCACTCAGAACGGATTAAAGAAAGCTTTAGATGAAAAGTTAAAAAAATCGGCTTCCATGACCGATGAGCAATGGGACAAGTTGGATGTAAAGGCGCTTTCAACAATTCAACTTTGCTTGTCCAATGAGGTTTTACGTGAAGTGACTGACGTAACCACCGCTGCAAAATTGTGGTTAAAGTTGAAAACTTTGTGTATGACTAAAAGCCTCGCCAACAAGCTTCGTCTCAAGGAGCAATTATATACGTTCCATATGATAGAAGGTACTCTCATTCAATCTCATCTTGATGAGTTTAATTCTATTATTATGGATCTGCAAAATATCGATATTAAAATCGATGATGAAGATAAAGTTATTTTGTTGGTTGTCTCTTTACCTTCTACCTACAAACACTTCAAAGAAATTATGTTGTACGGTAACAATGACACCTTATCCTTTGAAGATGTTAAATCTAATTTATTGTCCAATGAAAAATTTGATCTTGAAATCCATTCTGAAGACAAGGGTGAGGGTCTAAGTGTTAGAGGTAGAACTCAAGTAAAAGGGAGTACTAGTTACAAAAAGAGTAGATCCAAATCTAGGGGACGAAAATCCAACACTACCTGTCGTTATTGCAAAAAATATGAGCATGACATTTCTGATTGTTTTATCTTAAAGAAAAAAGAAGAAAATAAACAAAAGAAAGAAAAAGGTAAACAACCTGTTGAAACTGCTAATATTGAGACTGATTCTGATGAAGATGTTATGGCATCTGTTGTCTCTTCTGACAAGAGAAGCAAAAATAAGTGGTTTCTTGACTCTGCATACACATACCACATGTGTGCTTATAGAGATTTATTTATCAGTTTTGAACCAGTTAATAATTGTACTGTCTTGATGGATAATGATACCCAATGCAAAGTTGAAGGAATATGTACTATTCAAATCAAGGCTCATGATGGTGTTGTCAGGACTCTGACTAATGTTTGCTTTATTCTTGAATTAAAGCGGAATCTCATCTCTCTTGGCACCATTGAATCTCTTGGGTGCAAGTATTCATCTGAAGGTAGAGTCCTAAAGGTATCAAAAGGTGTCCTTGTTTTGTTGAAAGGTAACTGAGTGGGTACTTTATATTTTTTGCAAGGTTCTATTGTGACAGGTTCAGCAGCTGTATCTTCTTCTATGCTTGATAATGATGTCACCAAATTATGGCACATGCGCCTGGGCCATATGAGTGAAAAAGGCATGCATCTTTTGAGCAAGCAAGGTTTTCTTGGTAATCAAGGTATCAGTAAGTTGGAGTTTTGTGAACATTGTGTCTTTGGAAAATAGAAAAAAGTAAGTTTCTCTACTGCAATTTACCGTACAAAGGGTATTCTTGATTATATTCATTTTGACCTCTGGGGGGCCTTCTAAAGTTCTCTCTTATGGAGGACGCCGTTATATGATAACTATTATTGATTATTTTTCTCGCAAAATTTGGGTTTATTTTCTCAGGTATAAAAATGAGACTTTCCTCACTTTTAAGAAGTGGTAAACTCTTGTTGAAACCCAGATAGGGAGAAAAGTCAAGAAGCTCAGAACGGATAATGGATTGGAGTTCTATGACGGTGAATTTATCGAGTTCTGTGCAAATCATGGAATTGCTAGACATAAAATCATTCCAAGAATACCCCAGCAAAATGGTGTTGCAGAACGAATGAACAGGACTCTACTTGAGAGAGCTCGTTGTATGCTCTCAAATTCTGGGTTATGACATCGACGTGAATTTTGGGCTAAAGCAGTATCAACTGCTTGTTACTTAGTTAATCGTTCTTCACTCTCATCACTTAATTTCAAAATTTCAGAAGAAATTTGGTCAGGTAATCCTGTTGATTATTCCAATTTAAGAATCTTTGGATGTCCTGCTTATGCGTATGTCAATGATGGCAAATTAGCTCCAAGAGCTGTAAGTGCATATTTCTTGGTTATGCATCTGAATCTAAAGGATATCGTTTACGGAATCCTAAGTCACAAAAATTAATTCTCAGTAGAGATGTGACTTTTAATGAGGATGCTTTATTATCTTCTGAAAAATAATCTTCTGTAATTTCTTCTACTAGTACTAATAATCTGCAGGATACTAGCGAGAAGGTGGAGTTGGAGTTGAAATCTGCAACTCCTAATGTTGATGTTCCATCTTCTTCTATCAATGAGTCTAGTACTGATATTTGTGGTGATAATGATGTTGATGAGATTACCACTTCTCCAATTCAGCCTTAGGAAGAGGAGTATTCCATTCCCCAAAACAGACCAAGAAGGACGATTACTAAGCTAGCTAGATATGCAAATTATGCTTATGATGATAATTTAATTGCATATGCATTATCTGTTGCATAAGAAATAAATAATGACATTGAACCAACCAGCTATACTAAGACTGTTTCTTGTGCTGATTCTTCAAAATGGCTAATGGCTATGAATGAAGAAATTGAAAGTCTTCATAAGAATGGTACATGGAGTTTAACAGAGCTTTCCAAAGGCAAACAACCTTTGAAATACAAATGGGTCTATAAGAAGAAAGACAACATTCCTGGGATTGAAGATCCTAGATGCAAGGCACAATTGGTTGTTAAAGGCTTCAGCCAAAAGGAAGGTGTTGACTTTAGTAAAATTTTCTCACCTGTTGTTCGTCATACCTCTATACGTGTTTTGCTTGCTTTTATTGTTTTATTTGACTTGGAATTGGAGCAACTTGATGTTAAGATAGCTTTTCTGCATGGAGAGCTGGAAGAGGAAATTTATATGGAGCAACCTAAGGGATTTATTGTTTTTGGTGAGGAGCATCTTGTCTGCCGATTGAAGAAATCTTTATATGGACTCAAATAAGCTCCAAGACAATGGTATAAAAGGTTTGATTCCTTTATGATTGGGCAAGGTTATTGCAGAAGTCAATATGATGACTTTATTTATTTTCAAATACTTCCTGATGGATCTTACATATACTTGTTACTATATGTTGATGATATGTTGATTGCATCACGTGACAAGTCTCTAATCGGGAAATTGAAAACTCAACTCAATAATGAGTTTGAGATGAAAGAATTGGGTGCAGCTAAGAAGATTCTTGGTATGGAGATTTGCAGGGATCGTCAAGCTAGTAAATTGTTCCTATCTCAACAAAAATATGTTGAGAAAGTGCTTGACAAGTTTAATATGTCTAATTGCAAATCTGTTTCTACTCCACTTGCTGCACATTTCAAGTTATCATCTGACATTTGTCCTGAGATAGAGGAAGACATGGAGCGTATGTCACGCGTTTCTTATGCTAGTGCTGTTGGCAGTCTTATATATGCTATGGTATGCACTAGACCTGATTTAGCATATGCCGTTAGCATGGTGAGTCGGTATATGCATAATCCTGGAAAGGATCGTTGGAGTGCTATAAAATGAATTTTTTGGTATCTAAAAGGCAGTTCTAATATTAGCTTGATATTTTATAGAAATCATGCAACAACTGAAGTTACAGGTTTTGTTAATTCAGATAATGGTGACGATCTTGACAAAAGAAGATCTCTTTCTAGTTATATATTTACTCTCTGTAATTGTGCTATTAGTTGGAAAGCTCAGCTTCAGTTACTTCCATCATTATCTATGACTGAAGCTGAATATGTTGCAGCAACAGAAGGTGTGAAAGAGACTCTTTGGCTTAAAGGTCTGATTAATGAACTTGGTCTTACACAGGATGTTCTTACTATGTTTTGTGATAGTCAGAGTGCTATTTACTTGACCAAGAATAACCGCTACCATGATAGGACAAAATATATTGATGTGAGACATCATTTTATCCGAGAAATTGTTACTAAGGGTGAAGTCGTGGTTCAGAAGATTCATACATCTGAGAATCCAGCTGATATGCTTACTAAGCCTTTTCCAAAGGCCAAGTTCCAGCATTGCTTGGACTTGGTTGATCTCTACAACACTTGAACGCCCTTCGGGGGTTTAAACGGCGTCGAGCAATTTATCAAAACTGATCCAAGGTGGAGATTGTTAGTCAAAATTTGTAAGCACCGCTAATTTGTGGCTCAGTTTTTCAATTAGCACTGACAGACATTTAATTTATGTAGGCATCGTCTGAAAATGCATCGAATTGTCAAAATTTGCTACAGTAAATTACTATAGCAATGTTGAAATTTTGAAAAATTAATGTAGCAGTTTTTTGCCTATAAAAGGCAACGAATTAACGAAGGGAGCGATGCACATCATTCACAGATCCGTGAGAAAAAAATACTGAGAGAAAATTGAGAGTGTTATTTTGTAACTCTTATTCCATTTTGAGAGAGTATTTATTGAGAGAAAAATAGAATGATTTATTACTCTTTGTCCTCATAATTTTAGAGGACTTCTTGTACTCTTTCTTTTACATAGTGGAATTATTTTACTCGTCGTTGTCCGTGGATTTTTTCTCCGATTTGGAGTTTTTTCCACGTTAAAATCTTGTCTCCATTATTCTCTTTCTTCTCTTTATTTTCAATTAAATTTGATTCAGTCTTCCGCATTGCATTGATACCTTAACAATATATATATATATATATATATATATATATATATATTCTATTGTATATTTATTTTCAAGTTCATGCTAACTTAGACGGACCTTGAAGAAATAATAAACTGTCGTTTATCAAATTGAAAGCTTTATAACGTTTGTCAATCGAAAAACCTAGTCTTGGTCTTCAAATTTGTCAACTTTATGACAAATTAGTCATTAATCAATCAAGTTCATGGTAAATTTAGTTTAATAAAAATTTGATCAATTTCAAATTTGACACTATAGATTCAGGAACAAACTTATATGCACATAAAATTTAAAGACCAAATCAACCCAAATTACAACTTTAAAGGTTAAAATTGTATATTCAGTCTGATTATTAAATATCAAATCTGATTAGAAATTTAGCGGTTGTTTGAGGTGTCATGTGTCATATATATGTTAAACGGTAAGAGTTAGATGCAATATTATTCCAACGCAGAGTCAACAAAATCATCAAAGCACACCACTCGTCTTTGTCCATCAACATTCTGTTTCTTTGGAGTCACTATTCATCGGTTCATATTCTTGGCAATTAATTGGTTGAAAGCCCCTCAGCTTTCGACCATACATGTGGATTAATATGATGGCATCGTACCAAAAATTTGTGGACAAGGACATCTTTCGCTCTTCTGGCTTGCAAAAGCACGCTTTATATGTTTTTGGTTCCAACTGTGCAACACAAGAACGGCATAAAACTACCCAAACAACACGACACAAATCTTAAAATCTGCTTTCAATTTCACGTGGTCATATAAAACGAAACAAATGGCCATAGGCGAATCACAAATTTAAAGTTGCAATTCTAGACCATACACCAAATCTTTTTTTCTTCAGGAGCCCCCATTGGCTTGGCAACCATTTAACGACATAAATTTAAAGTAGGGCTCATCATGACAAACCCTTGTAGCGTCTAACGAAACTTAAGAATTTCAATCATAATTTATCTTTTCAACTTTGTCAAAACTATTGGAGTCATAAATTCTCTTCTCTTTTTTTTTTTTTTTTAAATTTTGTTAAGGGCTCAAAAAGTAGTTTTTTTTATTAATTTTTTTCAAATACGAAAGCTACCGAGTTTAAAAAGCTCTTTCAGACGACTTAAATTTTTCTCATTTCAAAAATAAGAATAAAAGTTTAAACATGTTAATGGTTATTCTTTGCTATTAATTAGTATTTTGCTTTTATTACTTGATTTTGTGGCATTATTGGAAAAAGAGAAATGGGGAAAAAATAAAATAGAACATGCTGATTACGTGACGCAGTGGCATATTCTTGTCCATGTTCACAAGAATTAGTCCAGGGAACATGTATGTGCTGCTAGCTGACGAGTTGCTATAAAGGCCACTTACTTAGCTACCACTACCAGGCTATAAAATTTATTTAAGAAACTACTAAGTATTAAGCTTACCAAATAGAGTTTCACAAAATGTGCAAAGGTACAGAAAACGGAAGGTGCAAAAACATCCCAACTGAAGAGATTGCTTCATTTGGTGCAACAAAGGGTTCAAGTTCAACATCTTGTGAGTTGTGTGGCTTGCAGGCTTCATTGTATTGCCACGCTGATAATGCGTATTTATGTAGAAAATGTGACAAATGGGTTCATGAAGCCAATTTTTTGGCCCTTAGACACGTACGGTGCTTTTTGTGCAAAACATGTCAGAACCTTACACAACGGTATCTCATTGGAGCCTCAGTGGAAGTGGTTCTTCCAGTCACCGCAAGATGGATTGTACAGAAAAAGAACCTTCCTAACAACAACACCGACAGATATTGTTCAAGAACACAAAACCTTCCTTTCACGTTTCTCTAGGTTTCTTTGTTGATTCTAGGTGATCTTATTTTCTGGGTTGAGTTTGTTTTCTTCTCCTTGTTGATAGATAGAGGTTAGTGAAAAATCGTATCTGGTGTTAGTGGACGTTAAGGAAGGCACGTGCAATGTTAGATTTGTTGGAAGTAATTTAGTACATGTAGTTTTTTCAAATAGATAATATCTACAGTTATTTTATAGAATGGTTTGTAGACATGCACCCCTTAAATTGTATACACCCAGAGAGAGATAATAAAATAGGGGAAGAAGTGATAAATGATGTCCTGTAATAAGAAAAAAAAAATGGAAATAGACAAGGGTTGTCACATGGTTGGCCATATTGTTGGAGTTTTTATAAATCAGAAATGTATTTCATTCTATGCAGCAGTTTCTTACATATCAGTGTGAGTGAAAACATCCTATATTAAATAAAAATAGAGATGTTGAATAATATATAAGTAATATAATAAACCTATAACTTAATGCTGTAGTGTAAAGCTATAGGATAAATGTGATTTATTGTGACCTATTAATGATATCCTTGTTTTCTTGTATTTAATTAAGTTCCCTTATATGTCTCAGCATATACTATCGTTTCCATAAATTCTATCCTTGCTGAACTACAACTGCTACGTACAGTTCCAAATATTGTCTCACTCGTAACATGTGGATGATCTGATTATAAATCTTATCAGCCTAAAGCCATGGATGGTAATTAATTGACTTCATAGAGTCGGCCACTATTGATCATTATATGGAGGTTTGAGAAGAATCCACGCAGTTGGTAGGTAACCAAACTATGATACAAGGCAACATTAATTTAACTTTGAAAAAATATTTTTTTCCCTAGTTTGCGGAAATAACTTAAAAATCTATTTGTTATAGCCTATAACACGGCAATAATTTCCAACAAGCATGTTATTAGAACCCCTTCATTTGGACGGGTTTTTTTCAGTAGTTCCATCTTAGAGCATGGAGGAATCCACAAGTATACACATTAACACATTTGATGTTTTTGGTTCACTAGCAATTTATATAGAAATATAAAATAAATGAGGTATCAAGACCGGTGTGGCAACGAAACATATCCATAGGATTTACGTGGGGATTTCTTTTTTCGTCTTGAACCCTGATGCTAAAATATCGTTGTTTAATATTTGGTTTCTTTAAAAATGATATATGTTTGCAGGGGCTCCCTCTTCCAAGTCCATAAAGAATTTTTTCAAGCTCAAATCTATATATCTGTCAAAACACTGCCAAGTTTGCAATTCTTTTATTTTTCAACGCCCCTTTGGTAATGAATTGCTCTTGCTTAATTAAACATTAAAAGCTCAATTGTCACATTTCACAAAAAAGAGTTGAGAATTGGCTGATCAGGCCTTGTTAATTATTAATTGTTAGGTTTCATGTCAAACAACACAGGTCACAGCAGTAAGAATAACATTTTATCTGTGATAATCATCTTCCTTCTTTGATTTGTATCAGAATAGTTTAGAAAATTATGATTAGTCCTTATCCTTGTGTCATGCTTCAAGGCATTCCGATATAAGCCATGAAATTTTTGCAAAACAAGCATAAGTGATCAAAATCTACATTGTCACAGAAGAAATAAAATTTCCTTGAAGGCATAAAAACATTGGCAATCCATTTTTCCATTATCAAGGTGGTAGCTTGTGGCAATTTACAACAATCAAATATTTCTGCTATTGCAAATTATCCATGTTGAGACTTTCGCCATCATAGATTACTAAATCCTTGAAATTCAAGCATTCCTTCAGGTATAGAGGTCAAAAAAAAAGGAGGACTGATCAAACATACAAAGCACGTTACTACTTAGAGTAGTGAAAAGTTTGGCACATGGTTCTATTTCATTAAACTTGTCACTTACCAAATCAAAGGAACCATCTTTATCTGGTTGCTCCAAACACTAGCTAGTGCAGCTGCATTTTTTGGTAGTGTGTTAAGTGATCCCCAACCATTGTCTGAAGTAGTATCTAGCATGACAAGAACCCAGGAAACTCAGTAAAAGAGGGATAGCTCGTAACTATTCAAAGCCTGACGCCTGTGTCCCAACAGAACACCCATTTTGCTTTCACTCACAACCTTGACACAGAAAACTCATCATCCATCCATGCAGTGGACACTTGTTGACATTGAACTGCACCTGTCACACACAGCATTGGCAAGATAAATGTGCAATTTATATGCCACTCATCCAATTCTTTCATTAGTCTTTCAATACTTTGAAAATTCAAATGGATGGTCAAGATGAAAATGAAGTGATGAAATGGCGAAAAATTATTTCAAAAATTTATTACAACAAATAATGCAGGGTGCTTGAAAAATGTGCAATTTATGTGTCTACCATTAAAGAAATGGTCATTATAGTCTACAATGAGTTGACAATTATTTTTCAGCATATTGAGACTCGTGTGCAAGAAAACATTTTTTAATTTCACCTTTGAGCAAATATAAGAATTAATTTCACCTAAATTACATTCCATAATTCTTGTTCCAATTTTCTTAAGGCAATTCTTTAGCTTGAAGCTACAGCATAATTTGTTTACCCAATTGTGATGGAGGCCCTCCACTTGGATTGGATGTTTGTTGGTAGAGCTTTGATGTAATGACTCATTAAAATATGAGGTAATTTTTAGTGTTACAAGAATATTGGTTGAGAATAAATATAATAGGCAGGAAATATTTTTGTAATATGTGACTTAGTATTTATAATAGTTTACTGCAATTTAAAACTTTGTTAGTTGCTTAGTTAGTCATATTATTTTTCATACTACCTTGGCTATCATATAACTTGCTAATTCCGCGCCTGGTGCTTAAAGAAGATTTTAAAAAGGATAAATTTACAGTGGTTGTACAATATGTAATACACAGACACGTAGTATATTATTTTGGTAACTAAATTATCCTTAAATTAATAAAATTAAATATAAATTATAGATAAATATATTTTTAAACATATTAATTATCATATATATAATTTAAAAAAATAAAAATTACTTTAATATTCTCTATATCTTTAAATGTATTAGTACTAATTATTCGATAGGAAAATAGCCTTGGTGAAGAAAAAAATTATCCTTGAATTAAGAAAACCTTATATTCATAAAAATAGAGGTATTTAGTGTGTATATCAAAAATTTGCTAAGAAAAAAAAATATCTTTTAATAATCTTTATGTTTTTTTACATTTTTTTATTAAGTAAAGTAAGAACCTATGTCATCAAGTTTTAAATTTGTATTCTTATATTATTTAATAACTTTTCATAAAATATAAAAAATTAAGGATCTAACTATTAAATTATCTTATATTATCTTCATAATTATACATATTAAAATTTAATATAATTTAAAATTTTATAAATATATTATCTGAAAATTAATATTTATTTATATTTTTAAAAAATATTACTTATTAAAACAAATAGCATAAATGTTAAAATTTAACATATAATATCAAGGCAAAAAAAAAATAAAAAATCTGCTAGTATTAATGTTTCCCATCATTAATAGCAGCAACTAAAGAAGGGAAATGGAGGGATGGCTTTCAAAATACGTTTGAAGTCACGAGGCGCGACAGAACAACGAATAAAACACGTTTGATGGCGAAATTGAACGTCGTTCATATTCACCAAACAAGCCCCATTCATAATTTCCAATACAGCCACTCTGCCTCTGACAATTCAAACGCTACCCAAACACAGATCCACTCATTCTTCACTTCTCTTCACAATTCGATTAGGTTCGCTATTCTTTTTTGCTCTAAATATTTTTAGCTTATTTTTGTTCTCTTATGCATATTGCATGTTATATATGTATCTATCTCCATGGTTTTTGGATGAAGATTTACTCTCTTAATTCTCTTATTACTCCTTCTTAAAGACTTGTTACAGGTACTTCATGGTGATTTCAGGTTGTGAGAAGCTTCAGGACAATAATTCGACGAAGTGGTTGTTTTATCCTTCGTTGTTTATCCTATGAACCAACATGTCGTAGTTCTAGAATGGTGATTCTGTTGGCTTCGATTTGATTCTTCGTATCGTTTGCAGCAAGTGTGTCTTGTGCGGTTCTGATTTACGAAGTTATAGATTGTGTTTGTTCTTGCGTTAGTTAGTTATGCTTGTGGCATTTGCCTTTAGTTTGTTGTGATTGGGTCAATGTCATTTGAGCTGAGCAAACTGAGACTTGAGTATGTTATTAGCATCTTGTAGATTTTATGAACATTTACTAGTGTTTCGAAAATTTAATTTATTTTTGTTTAAATTTGTTCGGGAGTTTCTATTGACTTTTAAGCTTTATGAAGTTTATGATGCAGCTCTTGCAAAATAAACTTGTGCGATAAAGCTTATTCTTCTGTATATTTTTTATGTTTTCTCCTCTCACAATCATTCCTGCTCATTGAGTACATTTGAGCTTAAATTACATAGAAGCTCTTAAAAGTTAACATAGTTTCATCACTACTTAGTTTTTTCTGATAATAAAATTGGTTGCCTTTCTTTCTTTCTTAATGAAATCAGTCTGTATTTATTGTAGATATATATTTTTTTTCTGTTCTTTCTATTCTTTCAGCGACAGATTCTTATGCAGTTGAAGAAGTAAGCATATTTGTTTGCCTTTTCAACCATGTTTGGCGGTCTTGTGATTCCTGTTAATAGTCCACATTTGCGGAAGTCTGGAAGCAGACCTGTTGTCTCTGAGCCTGGTAACTTCATTTAGAAGCCCCTCAACAGCATTTGTTCAATTTGAACTTTTGTCTACATGTATATTCTATCCATACATCTTTTATTAGTGCAATTTCCAGGTGCAAATGAGGTGGAAAATGGTGTGGATGAAGGTGTATTGTATTCAACAGAGGCGAATGATTTAAAGAGTGCTACAATGCCAATAAATGCCATTGCAATAATACCCTCACCTGTTTTGTTATGGAGATTCAAGGTTTTATTTTCTGTTTGGAACTTTACAGTAAATTTTATTTCTAGAATGTATTTGATGGTACTGCTTAAGTAAGCTCAAATCATTTTGACTTGATAAATAATCCCGAAATGGCTTCAATTTGTTTTCATAAATTTGTTTTTTATTGTTTATTTTGGAGAGAAGATGCACAAGTGGTTCACATAATTTGCTTGTGTACAGTCAATCATTCAATTCCTTTTCTTTGGGAATACATTATATTATTTTAATTATGAATAGCGATTTTAATTTATAGCTTAGTGGTTTCTACTGCTGTCACTGGCTTTTTCTTGTTCTGTTTCTTCTGCTTTTTCACAGCCTAATTGAGATGAATGTCCAGGTACTCTTTTTCCTTGTCTGGGGCTTCATCTGTTGCAAGGTCAGTCACATTTTCCTTTTCCAAATCTCTTGAAATCCACTTGAGATACTGGGAAACTTATGATTAATGAAATTGAGAAAATATTCCCTTAGCATAAGGGTTATCATATTAGTAATTACCTCAATCTTATTGTCTGATTATGAAAATTGCAGATTGGATGGGATTCTGTCACGAGAATGAACGCAAACAAGCGGGATTTATTTCTATATGAAGCATTTTTGTATTATAATCCTCTTCTTCTTGCGGTCAGTTCTCCTCTCTCCTTCTCTCACAGGGTCTTTGTGTATGTGTTAGTGTGTCTGTTTCAATATGGGCTCAAGGAGGTTAAAATAATATTTTAAAATTGTCTTTACATTCTCTTTTGTCAATGAATTTCTTATTATTTTTATATTTCAGACTTTGATGGTTTGGCTTTGGGGAATCAACTTATGGTTTTTCAGTAAAGGTGGTGTCAATTATCCAAAAATATTTGATCTTGACCAAAATCACCTGACTCACAGAGAAGTATGGAAGGTAACTATTATGACTTTGACTTCATGTTTGTTACATTGAATCAATTTTTGCAGAACTGAAGGGGGGTGGGGATCCAAATGTATTGGAACATAGCAATCATTTCTGTTCCAGTTTTTGGTTTGCTTAAGAATGTATTTATAGTTTTTATAGCTTAGTTGCATCTTCAGTCCCTAAAGAATTTTTTTGCTCAAATTTAGCCCCTTAATTTTTTAGTTGTTTCATACTTACATTCAAGACCTTCTGTTATATCGCTTTTTCTTCACATAAAACCCTCAAATCTTTGTTTTTACCTTCTATTTTTAAATATTTTTTCTTGAAAGCTTGACTTATTTCTTTTAATTTTTATTTTGTTCATTGCAGTGTGCAACATGGATGACAATTATTGCTCCAACCAGTATGACAGCATATATTTTTCTTTATTCTCAAGGAGAAGTCTCATATGCCGCATCACAACCAGTGTAATAGATGCATCCACCTTTATATTTATCATTTACTCTTATGTTGCTTGGTATCACCTTTTCATTGTAGAACTCTAGTCTTGTTGTATCCTATAAATATTTGGCTTCAATGTTTGTTGCTTAATGTTGATTAATTTTTAACAACAAAATTTTTGTATGTTCTTGTTAGAGATGTAATATAAAATCATTCATGTGTTCTCACCTAATAGATGACCAAGTTGGTCTAAATTTCAATCCTTGTCACTCTCAAATAAAAAGTTGAATTTCAAGACAAGGTAGGTGGGCAATATCATCAACTAAGTAGAGTAAACTGAAGGGGGAACCTCAATAGTTTAGCTTTGGATATTCTATGAAGTACTGAGTTCAACTCACATTTGAAGTGGCAAGAGGGGAATGGGTCATGCTCCACCCTGCCCAAAATTGTGTAGCCTAAAATATGATAAACCAAAAAAATCTGCCTCATGGGAAATCAGTAATTGCTGATCATGATATTGTTAATTCATTCATGTATCCTTTTCTTCTTCTTGCAGTGGGGACAGTGAGGGAGGACATTATTGTATGTTTTCCTTGTTGAGCTTGACATTTCATTTTTTAATTCAAAGTCCTACCCAATTTACTTCACAAATTTCTTAATTTGGGTTCATTATTGGTTGAAAGGCAGTGGCTGCAGTGCTTGCGTGCATGTCTATTATCTCAATCATGCAAGTTGTCTGGGATCAAAACATAAATAAGATATGCAACTTACATTAGTATATATTATTCTTTACGTTTTACCAGCTAAAAGTGTTAAATGTAGTTGGTTTATGTAACTTTTGGTTAATCTTCATTTAACAAATTACTGCAGTAAATACAGATTGATCTTACTTAGTTAATCTGCCTAAATATTTTATCGTTATTTATTTCTTTCCATAATGTGTTTCCTTTTCTTATCTTGTTGGCTGATGTTTGAATTCGACTTGTACTCTTCTTCAGGTTCTCTTGTATGCTGCTGTTGTAATGGTTTTGATATTCCCCTCTGATATCTTCTATTTTTCTTCTCGGTATTATTTCCTAAGGACACTTTGGCGTATAGTTTTCCCATTGCAGGCAAGTCTGCTCTTATTTGGATATGAAATGTTTCTATCTCCCCTGTAGTTCTGCATTTGAAGGGGCAGATTTAGTCCTGTAATAAGTTTCTTTTCACATCCTTGCTTCTAAGATCCTAGGCCTAGCAGTCTAGCATACATTAATTTTTCTACAAAATCTATGATTTTCTAGAATATTCATTCTATCCCTTACCAACTGATGCTTTGACTAATTTATAGGAACTATGCATCTATGCCTAACTACAATCTAATTTTTTGTATTTTTATGAAAACAGGCAATATCATTCTCTGATTTTTTCTTGGCTGATATTTTAACATCCATGGTTAAGGTTTGCCTCTCATCTGCAAAGTTATATTTCTCTAGAAAAAATCTGATTCCTTGATGTTAAGCATTATGATAAAGTAGTAGATTTTCAAATGTAACTATAATGATTTGTTTTTATTAATATATGGGTATGCACTTGTTAGTATTGTATTAATACAGATGCAAGGTCCAAAACTGGTAGTCTGGCACATGTAACCTGAGAGTTTGAAGTGGACCCAATTTCTTTATCTGAATTTTTTTCTATTAATGCACTACTATTATATTTTGATTATGGTTGCCAATTTCATGCAGGTTTTTTCTGATTTGGAACGTTCAGTATGTAGAATGGTCCATCGACAGGTTTGTTTTTGATAAATTGTAGTTGAGTATTCTATTGTGTTCAATCTAAAATCTATCGGATGCAGATATATTGTTTATTACTTGTTTCCTTCGATTTGTATTCATAGACATCGTGCCATCTTCTTGGGAAGCTCAAAAACCAACTTATGGTCAAATATTTATTGTTTGCTATCAACTAATTAATCAGAGTGGGTGAGATCTTCTTAATGATAAAACCTATTCACCTTTAGGATGGTTGGTTTGACTTCTTATTAGAGCCTTTTTTATTAGGGGTCAGATCCTATCCTATGACAAAAGTTTCAGCACGAGGTTCCTCTGATGCACCCACACTTCATGACTAAAGGGATTTCATGTGAAGGATCATGTTAAGAGATAAAACCTACTCCTTGATTTGCACGTTAGTTTTTAAGTTATCAGGATTGACTGGATCCTTGGCAATGCTATTGTGTAGATGGGGACTTGATTTCAGAAGAATAAACTGAGGAGGAGAAAGATTAAGTTTAAGATCACCTACTCTTAAACTCCACTTTTGACTGAAGTTCTGAAGGAACAAAAATCAGAGTTCATAGGGAAACATATTAGGAATGGCGTAAAGGTTTATAAAAGACAGGTGATGTATTCCTGAGGTGATTCTACTGGAAACTAGTTACTCAAAACTGTTGTAAGCTAGGATCTTAAACTGTTTACAATGTAATATTTTAAAGGCCATTATCTGAAGATATTTCTAGTAGAACCGCAAGATGTGGTATATGACTGCAATTTGATAAACTCCAAGCACATTGTATATTTGTTTTGTTTACCATTGTGATTACGACCTTTAAAATATTATGACCTTGAAACACATGGTTTAACCTTTAAACCTCGGAAATAAGACACGGCCCATATTTGGGTCTGTTCTGGGGAGGTGAAAAAGTCTAATTTGTCGCCGCAACTATATTTCTTTAACCTGTTTAACCATTTTGCAGATTTTTTAGATGAATGAAATTTTTGAAATTGATCTTGCTGTTAAAGGAAACTCACTTGGCTGTTTGGTCTTATTTCTTCTTGAGGAGATCTACGGCTAACTGTTCTTTCCTGCCATATATCTTATATATTAACAATTACACTTTTGCACTTGTATGTATCTAGTTATGTTACAGCAGATGCTTTAGTTTTCTCATTTAGTTTTTTTTTTTTTTAATCAAATAATTGTAGGTTGCCACAATTGCATGGTTGGAAGCTGATTCTGTTTGTGGCAGCCACTCTGTTGCAATCCCTTTAGCTCTTGTTTTGCCTTACCTTTTCCGTTTAAACCAATGTCTCCGACAGTACAAAGATACAGGGGAGAAGACTGCTCTTTTGAATGGTAAGAACTCTCGGTTACCCTAATTTTATTTTTTTAATTCTCGCTTTCCTCTTTAAAACTTGTAGTGTATTATTATCATGTAAAATTTTGCAGGTTTATGAAATCGATATAATACATTTTTCTGCAATTTAATTGTGTCACTGGTCTGATCACATTAATGTTTTTGTTGAATTAGTACCATACATATAGAGAATTTGGTGCATGTTTCCATGTCCAAACTGCTCTTTCAATCTCAAAGCCTAACTGTTCGTTCAATCTTTGAAGAATTTTCAATTCATGATTAGCTTGTTTAAAAATAATTGTTATTTAATGCATCATAATTGTTTGAATTTCATAATTTCATTCGGTATTGCAGTTGTGATGTTGTTATGTTGAGCCATCATGTACAATTTTGTAGTCCATTTTTTTCTTAAAATAATTATACTGTTGTTGTATGCATTTTAACTGTTCGATTTTAGATCTTCTGAATAGATCAAGTTAACATGATTCAGAGACTGATGTAAAATGTTTTTACTGCTTTGTAATGAATTTTCTTGCTTACGGATTCAGCTTTAAAATATTCAACTGCCGTGCCAGTGATTTTTCTTTCTGCCCTGAAATATCACGTCTCCCCTGAAAGATGGACAAACTTATATAGGCCTCTCTGGTTGATGTCAAGTGTTGTGAATTCACAATACTCTTTCTACTGGGATGTGACTCGAGATTGGGATTTGAGGTATTTAAAATTTTTGGACTACCATTTACCTGTCACATTATCTTTGGAACTTATTTTTGACATAAAAAATATAGATCCTTTGTTCAAAGAGAAGTGATATTTTAAATCTTTGGGAACAACCTTTAAAATGGAAGGAATTGTTTTAGTCGCTTAAACTGCTTTTATCTTGTGCCACAGCAGGGCCTATGAGGCATAAACCACTGTATTAATTCAATATTCCTATTGGTTTATAGTATGGTATGCGTGGGGTTTAAACTTCGAAGTCATGTGATAACTACATTTTTAATTTTTCTGCGCCCAAGTGAGGTTTTTTATTGCGACTTCCTGCTTCTGTACAGACATACATAGCATATTTGTGTTTGTATTATAATTTTTCATGAATCAGTCTTGGATCGTGTGATTTAGCCGTCCCAATTGTTTATTTTGGTTAAGTTATCGGAGAAGTTTTAGGGGGTTAAAATATAAAAAATATTTTAGTCTAATAACGGTGTCAGTTAACTTAATCAAGCCATATCACATATGCTGCAATCTTGCCATAGAGAGCCTAGATGAATATCATTTTACTTGTGTTAGATCTGAATAGTCGTGATACACTAATGAACTCCCCTTTCTCTTTTGCCAGTGGTTTCACTCGAATATTCAAGTTCAGCAAGCCACATTTGCTATCACATCTGTTACATGGAAGGAGATGGGTAAGGATTGTTATGTACAAATAGCTTGAATTCAATCGCTTTTTTCCTCCTTGAAGTTGATAAGATATTGATTTTTCAAAATAAAAGTCTTCTCACCGTGTAGCTCTCACACCTTTACGGAGTCTATCAAGTGTTCCCTAGCGAAATTCTTTGCATGTAAACAAGTCCGAAAAGTCTGACTCAATCATTTCATCAGCTTTAAAATTTGATGAAGTTGATTATATTCATATCCTTAGCTTACTATTTATTACACACACACATAATCTTATTAATTTTATTTTAACTGGTTTGCTGAATATTGGAAAGCCCACTTCAGAAAAGAAGAATGAAAGTAATAGTAGAAAACCAAAATAAAATACCATTTTATTTGCGGTGTCCTGAATTAGTTTATTTTATGCACACCTGAGATTGCAGGTTTACTTTTGGGTGAGTGGAAGCAACTTGGTTTTGCGTTGCACATGGACATACAAGTTGTCTGCCCATCTTCGCCATAATCACCTCACTGTGTTCACCATTGCTGCCCTGGAGATTTTCCGCCGCTTCCAGTGGATCTTTTTCCGTATAGAAAATGAGTGGAACAAGATAAATTCTAAATCACACATTCAGCTTTCAGTTGATGATGACATGCCTAACGAGGGAGAAAAATTACTTCATTCTAATCCCCACAGTGTATAAGCTACAGGATTGTATGATGCGTTCGCACTTCGCAGCATCATGTTTTGTCATTTCAACCTCCTCGGTTATAAAATGTCATTCTAGAAGAATAATTTATTCAATTATAAAAGTGCTCCTTTATTCATTTTCATGATGGATCCTTGGAAAGGCTACTGGTCCACAACATAGTTTATTAACGGAAGGAGTTCAGGGTCTTTAAAGGGAGGGTGTAGTTTTAGAGGGTAACTGTTTATAGTCATTGATTAATTTTTTTTAAAAAAATAATTAAATTTATAAGTTGTCATAAATTTTAATAATATTTTGAGTTTTTTTTTCAAAGACTATATCTAGGAGTTAATTTGTTTTCTCAAAATACTAAGTAATTTTTTTATTATGTTAAGTATTTATTTTAGTTTTAAAATTTGTCTGTTTAAATATAAATTTATTTAATAAAATATAATTTTTATTAATAATTATAATATTTATTTTTAAAATTTCCAAATAATCATAATATGTTTTTAATCGCTTATTAAAAAATTTAATGGCATTCATGCAATACATTTTTAATTTTTTATAAAAATAAACAAAATGGAGTCAATTTCGTTTGGATCACTTTTAATTATGAGAATAACAAATTAAACTAAACTAAATTAGAAGAATTTAATTAGTTCAACAAAATTTGAAGACAAAAAAAAATAAATTATTTTCAGTTTATTTCTATTTTATTATTTAGGGTTTAGGAAATAATTAAATAAGCTATCCATCCAAACTCATGCATAATTTTTTATTATGAAAAATATTATTAATATGATTTAATATAGTCATTCTTGAGAATAGCAAACAACTAGACCATTAATTCGCTTTTGAATGAACTAGCTTGGTACAAACCAGATGAATCATTCATTACTATTGATGGCAATTGGGTTGGCTGGGGAGATTCTGGGTTTTATAGCTCCGCTTCACCTGCTTTAATCAACACTTAAAAGTGATTAGACAATAAACTTTAAATGATTATGACACTTTTTTTTTTACATGTATTTTCATAACTCTTAGGTTAAATATTTTTGTGTGAGGGATATAGTGGATCGAAGATAAGGGTGAACATGTATTAAGATCTCCTAACCAAAACAAAGCTGAAAACTTGGGTTGAGGTCGAATTGAAAGAAATAGGGATGTCAAAAGAAACCATCTCAAATTAGTCAGCTTTAGTGTCAGATTAATTTAAAGTCGAATTGAATTAATTTAGTACAATTATTTTTGAGCCGTTAAACATAATTAAAATGTATGCATAAATTAGTTTAAACTAAGTAATTTTTTAAATGTATGTTTCTTATTAAAACATATCAAAATTAATTTTCTAGCTTTAAAAAACAAACTAGCCTTAATCTAGTCTATGAGAGGCGACTTTAATATATAAAAGCTACATTCATATATACACATTTTTTATTATTTTATTTATAATTTTTAGAGTTTATTTAAATTAGAAACACCCATAGAAAATACAAAACTATTGTTTAATAATTAAATATTATGAATTCAATTTTGGCACATAATCAAATGAAAAGATTCTCACACTTATAATTTATGATTGAATGATAATATAAAAATATTTAGACTTTTAGTTAGTGTATTTTACGTAAACTCAACTATTTTAAAAAAATAAATACTACAGCTAGTTATTGTTAATAATTTACTGGATAAAAATTTAAAATACATTACACGGTTCTTTTAAATTTAATGGTTTTTATAAAATAAATTATTTTTTGTTGATAATAAACATTTTATTATATAAAATAAGATTAGCTTATTAACGGGGTTGATTTAAATTTTACATGTTTAATTCCCCTCTTAAGTTTAAAGTCTCAACTTGGATATTGTAAATTTAAAAAAAATAAAATCTATAGAGAGTTAGATCCATCGTACCATGAATGTTCTCCGCTAGGATCTTTACAAAAATTAATGTTAATAATTAAGAATTAGTTTAAACATTTAGAATGAATATATTTAAAAATAATATTCTGTTATACATTTTTTTTTTAATTTTGATATAATAATTATTTTGTAATAAAATTTTATTAATTTTAAATACTTAAGCCCAATTTTTACGATTTAAGTTAAGGTTGATAAAATTAAAAATATTTTGATTTAAAAATAAATATTCTCACAATATAGAAGTAAATTAAGAAAAGTATTGTTAACATATATTTAAAAATATATAATAAAATTTAATAAATACTAATTTTTATTAAAAACTTTTACATTTAATTTATCAATATATTAAATGTTCGTACATCCTAAATTTCAATAAAAATCTTTTCTTACACGTAGAATGTAATAACCAACTAAAAAGTTTATTTATTTATTTGTTGTGTTAATAACTCATCTCGTTGGGTGCTAAGCATAAGAACTTGTGTGTTGGATTTGTGAATGGGGACGAAGATGAAGGAAGGTCTTTGAGCAGAAGAAGAAGAAGAAGATCTTGTCTGTTCCCATGGCCGACATGTCCACACAGCACTTGTTGCACCTCATCAAACGCCTTTCTCACACCATTTCCAATCTTTTCGTATTCTTTCTTCCTCTTCATCTCTATTTCTCTCATACACTCGATTATTTTCTTTTATTTATTTTGCCCCGTTGTTTTTACGGCAATGTTTTAATTTCGATTGTTTCGGTTATTCTCCATATTTTAATTGATTGGGGACAGTATAATGCTTAACTAAGATTCCATTTATTTCAATCTTAAGTTTTGGGGTTTGTCTTTTTTTTTTTTACTCTTTTTCGTGATAAAAATAAAAGGTGAAAAGTCTAGAGGAACTATGATCACCAAAACAAAGAGATGATTGTTCTTTGGTGCAGTCAAGGGCTTTCATATTTATGCTCATGTTCTGTTGTCTAAATGGAATGGTAAGAAATATTATGTCAAGCTTGCATTGAAAACTGGTCTCTTGTCACTGCTGTCTGTGAAACTGCACCGTGGGGTGTTGAAACTTTTAATCAATAGCAATGTGGGGAGTTTTGGTCTGTTTTTGTGTGTCTATTTTCATCTTTCAATGATCCTGCATTCCTTTTGAAACCGAAATTTTGTTGTAGTTTATATCCATCCCATTTGATTAAATGGGTGCTGATCTTTCTTTGGACGAATGTAATATGAAGCAATAACCATCTTTATTGTGTTTGACTTGGTATCAGGTTTCATACTCTATTGGGGCAGTTGTCGGTCTTGCCATTGCAATTTTTTTCGTCTGGAGGCTGTTGTTGAGATCACCTGGTGGATCTCAACACAGGCAACGGAAACGGCAAGGTGCTACTTCTAGTAGTCCTGGAGTTAGCACACTTTCAAATGCCTCTGTAGTTCCTTCTGGAGTTTGTTCATCCTCAGCTGGTTCAAGGGCACAAAATTTAGTTGACGAGTTCTCTCAGCCAGTGAAGGTTAATGTCCTTGCCTTGGGCTGAGTTTGATTGCTTTATTATGCGTGATTGACAATTATTGTCTTGCTTCTTCCTCCTCTTTTCCAGCCTACCTTGGGCCAGATTGTTAGGCAGAAGTTGAGTGAAGGAAGAAAGGTAATCAAACATACCCTACTCTTACTTTTAAGTATACAGACCAATTGCGGAAGTTTGTTGCATTTTGGGGTTCCCAATTTTTTTTTCTTTGTCATTGATAGAGAGGAATTTCTATCCCCCTTTTTACTTGTATGCTGTGTAATGTCTATTCTGTTTGGTAGTGTTTCTTAATTTATCAAAAAATGAGGGACCTTTGTTGGTATTCTGTTTTCATTTTTTTATAAGACATTTCTTAATGTGAAGTAATCAAAAGCCACATGAGTTTTACTCTACTGTTATACTCTTAAAGATTTTCTTTACAGGATTATGTAATAAATAAATATTGGATGAAGCCTCTAAATTACATAGGTGGTTGTGTTAGTAAAATTTCTTGTGTTAATATTTACCTTTCGGGCCATCTCTGGCCAATATTATAACGTTTATTGAATAATGTATACTTAAACTTGCCCTTTTGTGTGTCCATGTTCTGTGAACAACTAATTAATGTCTAATAGATTATAAAAGTAACACATAGGGAGTGATGTAAGCAAATTCTTGAACGTTTTGCAAAAAATTTAGAAAGAGAAAAAATATAAGAAATGAAAATGATGTTATTGAGCATAGTTAGGCTCTGTTAGGAAACGTATCAGAATTAATTTCTATGGAGTTGAAAAGTAACTCCATCCGTTTAAGGTGCTTTGTGAATTGTGCAAATTTATTTACAGCCATAGATATAAATTACAAAGTTCTGTCGCGTTAAGTGAACTGAAAAACAAACAGACACTTGCAGTTACCAAAAAAAGAAAATTTGATTTCCAACTTATGATATTCCTGATATTTGAAGAGGTCTTTACTACTTGTTAGGAGTTATTTCTGGTTTGTTTAATAAATCCTAGTTTATAGGATCAGTTTGTTTTTGAACGTTGTCACGTCGTTATACGTGAAGCTGTTTTTATGTATTCTGTTTTTGTTTTAGGCTATATAATAGCGTATGTGAGATCAATAAAAGAACTCAGTTTTTGCACCAGTTAAATATACATATTATCTATTCCTTACAAACTGGTATCAGAGCTCCCACTGGGCCTGATACGTAAGCTGCAACTTACCTATGAAGATAGAAATTTCCGACAATGCACAACGAGAAACTCTGCAAAAATCCCTTACTTTGAAGGTCAACATTATGACCATTGGAGTGAATTGATGGAGAATCTACTTCGTGCCAAGGGTCTCTGGAACTTGGTCAAGACTAATGTTGAGGACCCTCTTGCAGGCACTGTTTCGACTAATGAACAGTTGGAGCAATTGGAGAAATCCAGAACTAAGGATCACAAGGTCAAGCATTACCTATTTAGGGTCATCGATAGATCAATTTTTGAACAGATTTTGGACAGGAGCACGTCCAAAATTGTTTGGGACTCCCTGAAACGCAAATTTGGAAGAAATGCACGTGTGAAGAAATTAATGCTTAATGCATTGCGACGGGAGTTTGAGGTGCTTGAAATGATAGACACCGAAACCATCACCACAGTATTTTGCTAGAGTAATGGCAGTGGCCAATAAAATGAGAAGCAATGGAGAAAATATGCCTGACTCCAGAGTGGTTGAAAAAATACTTCGAACCTTGACAGCTCGATTCACCTATGTGGTGGTTTCGATTGAGGAGTCACAGGACATAGAAGCAATGTCCATTGATGAACTTCAAAGCTCTTTGGTGGTCCATGAGCAAAAGTTCAAACGAGTCAGTCGAGATGATGAGCAAGTACTCACGTTGGAGACTAGTAGAGGCAGAGGAAGAGGAAGAGGATCATACCGAGGTCGTGGACGTGGCAGAGGAAGACAATCTTTCCCAAAGCAACTGTGGAGTACTTCAAGTGTCACAATTTGGGTCATTTCCAGTATGAATGTCCCCAGTGGAACAAAGAAGCAAATTATGTAGAATTAGATGAAACAGAAGAGTTTCTCTTGACGGCTACTGTAGACAAGGGAGCCAACTAGAATGCCGCATGGTTTTTGGACCCAGGGTGTTCCAATCGTGTGTGGCGATAAAAGTGTATTTGTAGAAATGGTATTTGAAGCTAAGCACTCTGTCAAATGTGAAAATAACTCTCACATGAATGTTGTTGGAACAGGTAGTGTCAGATTGGTATTTAATGACACTACTTTTCTTATTTAAGATGTATACTATGTCCCTGAGCATAAAAAAAATTTGTTAAGCATGGGACAATTGCAGGAAAAGGGTCTTTTCATCCTTATACAGACTGGGAAATGCAATATATATCATCCATCTAAAGGTTTGATTGCTCACACAAACATAAGCACCAATCGTATGTTCATTCTTTTTAATGAAAGCTCCATCATCCCTACTCCTACTGAAGAATGCCTGCATACCTTCTCTGATCTTACTTACCTTTGGCATCAAAGATTTGGTCACTTAAGCTACAAAGGCTTGAAGACCCTACAAACAAGCAAAATGGTGCACGGCCTACCTGAACTAGACTCCTCAAGTATCGTATGTGCCGACTGCTTTACTGGCAAACAACATTGTAATCCAATTCCTAAGGCGAGCAAATGGCATGCTAGCACGGTCTTGGAACTCATACATGCAGACATTTGCGGACCAATAGAACCTATCTCAAATAGTGGAAAAAAGTATTTTTAAGCTTCATTGATGATTATAGCGTAAAAGTTGGCTGTATTTGCTCTCTGAAAAATCTGAAGCTTTGAAGTACTTCAAGTCCTACGAGAAAATGGTGGAAAAGAAAGTTGGAGCATTCATCAAATGCCTACAAACAGATAGAGGAGGAGAGTTTAACTCTCTCGCGTTCAAATTGTTTTGTGAAGAAAATGGTATAAAAAGGCAACTTACTATAACCTATACCTCACATCAAAACGGAGTCGCAGAATGCAAAGACAGAACTGTTATAGACATGGTACGTTGTATGCTCTCTGCAAAAGGGATTCCCATATCCTTTTGGACTGAAGCGGTAAACTGGACGTTTTATCTATTGAATCGCTGTTCAACACACGGCGTGGAGAACATCACTCCACAAGAAGCTTGGAGTGGAATCAAGCCTTCAATCAAACACCTTCGAGTTTGGGGATGCTTAGCTCATGTGCACATATCAGAGGTAAAATGAGGTAAACTTGATGATAAAAGCTTTCCTTGTATTCTGGTAGGTGTTAGTGATGAGTCAAAGGGCTATCGTCTATTTAACCCTAAGACAAAGAGAACAGTAGTTAGTAAAGATGTCATGTTTGAAAAGAGAAGAGTTGGGACTGGGGTTCAAATTATAAAGAACAAATAGAAACTGAGCTGGTGTGGGGTGATGATGAACTCCACAGTGATGACAGTGAGAGGGAGCACAGTGCTGAGAATAATGAAAATGAGTTTGAGGAAGATATGGAGCTCGATCGTAATGGTGAGAATAATGAAGGTAGTGGAGTTAGAAGTGAAGCAGTAAGTTCACAAGAACACGTGATTCAAGGGAGAGAAAGGAGGAAGCCAACTTGGATGGGAGATTTTGTCAGTGGTGAAGGATTGAGTGAAGAAGAAGAAGCAGAGGCAGAGGCTTACTTGGTACAAGATGTTATAGGTGATGATCCTATTCTATTTGAGGAAGCTGTCAAACACGAGAAATGGAGAAAGACTATGGACAATGAAATAAATTCAATAGAAAAGAATCAAACCTGGGAACTACTGGACCTACCAACTGGAACAAAAACAATCGAAGTCGAATGGATTTACAAGACGAAATTGAATGAGCTGGGAGAAGTTGATAAGTATAAAGAAAGATTGGTAGCTAAGGGGTATTCACAGCAACATGGAATTGACTTTTCTGAAGTCTTTGCCCTTGTTGCAAGCATGAATACAATGAGGATGATCGTGGCACTTACAGCATGCAAAGGATGGGACATCTTTCAGCTAGATGTAAAATCTGCATTCTTGCATGGAGAGTTGAGTGAAGATTTGTACATAGAGCAACCAAAGGGATATGTCAAGAAAGGGAAAGAGCACCAAGTTTACAAGTTACATAAAGCCTTGTATGGTCTAAGGCAAGTACCAAGAGCTTGGTTCAGCCGTATAGAAGCACATTTCATACATGATGGCTTTCAAAAATGTCCAAGTGACCAGACCCTATTCATTAAAAGGAACACTAAAAAAAAATATTAATTGTCAGCATTTATGTTGATAATCTGATTTATACTAGCAATGACATGGGTATGATGATTAAATTCAAGAAGTCTATGATATAGGCTTTTGATATGACTGACTTAGGGAAGATGAAATTCTTTCTCGGCATTGAGGTCTTACAAAAACTAGGAGGAATTTTTGTGTGTCAACGGAAATATGCCAATGATGTTCTGACGAAGTTTCAATGTCTGAAAGCAAACCTGTGAAAAGTCTGATTGTTCCAGGTAGTAAGATTAACAGAGACGTTGGTGCAATGGTGGATGACACTTACTTCAAGCAAATTGTAAGTAGTTTAATGTATCTAACAGCTACATGACCAAATATCGTGTACAGTATGAGTTTAATTAGCAGGTACATGTCCAAACCAACAAAGTTGCACTTGCAATCTGCTAAAAGAATCTTACGGTATTTAAAAGGAACTACTAGTTATGAGATATTCTAAAGGAAAGGAGGGGAAGAAAATCTGCTTGCATTCATAGATTCTGATTATGCAGGAGATGAGGATGACTCTAAAAGCACGTCTAGTTATGTGTTCTTGTTAAGTTCAAGAGTAGTGTTATGGATGTCCATAGAAACAACCAATTGTTACTCTTTCAAGTACAGAGGTAGAGTTTGTGGCTGTTGCTGCCAGTGCCTGTCAAGCAATGTGGATGAGAAGAGTTTTGAGAAATCTAAGTCATTCTCAAGACAGCAACATTGTTATCATGTGTGACAATAGTTCAACAATTAAACTTTCAAAAAATTCAGTAATGTATGGAAGGAGTAAGCATATTAGAGTGCGTTTTCATTTTTTAAGAGATCTTGTGAAAGATGGAGAAATTGAGTTGGTGCACTGTGGAACTCAAGAACAAGTTGCAGATTTAATGACTAAAGCCTTAAAACTTAAAGCTTTCCAGAAACTCAGAAAGAAGATGGGGATGCTTGATCTTGCTGAAGTAAACTTACTGCATACTGCAGTCAGTTTGTTTAATAAATCCTAATTTATAGGATCAGTTTGTTTTTGAACGTTGTCACATTGTTACACGTGAAGCTATTTTTATGTATTCTGTTTCTGTTTTAGGCTATATAATAGCCTATGTGAGATCAATAAAAGAACTCAGTTTTTGCACCAGTTAAATATACATATTATCTATTCCTTACAATATTATTATTCTACTTTTCTTGGCAAGCATGAATAAGACATGCTGTCTACCTGTCTCTATCCAACAGAGGTAAATGGTGATATGACAAAACATTTCTTGCGTGAGTTTATACATATTGTACGGTCAATGGTTTCTGTCTTTATTGCCAAACTCTATCCTATATATTGTATTATTTTATGTAGGTAACTTGTCGTCTTCTTGGAGTGATCCTTGAAGAAAGTAGTCCAGAGGAGCTTCAGGTGGTGAGATTGTCCAATTTTTGTATCTTTATTTAAGACATTTATGTGGACAAATTTATCAATGTTGTTTGCTTTGTTTTTGGCAGAAACAAGCAACTGTGAGGTCCTCTGTGCTGGAAGTGTTGTTGGAAATAACAAAATTTTGTGATTTATATCTCATGGAACAAGTTCTGGATGATGAAAGTGAGGTGGGTTCATTTGTTAGGCTAGATCATTTGTCCATCATGTCTTAACTTTTATCTGATATCCTTTGTGGAGTTGATGAGCAACACTTCACGTTCTAGGCAGATTAATTTTACCCTTCTCCAACTTAGTTGGTCAAAATATTTTTTTTTTATAGCTAAAGTTTCTGCAGAAATGAACTAAGATTTCTTTATAGGTAAAGGTTCTGTGATAATGAACTAAGATATTCTGTTGCTCCTTGAGGTGAAAAGTTTTACCGTGTAGAACTGGTATGGTTTCCCTTGTTGATGTCACATTAGATATATGAAACATTGACATACTTTTACCGTATCTTCTCTTTGACTGGCTTGTTCTTCCTGCGCCAAGGTTGTCCAAATCAAGATCTATATAATATTAGAAGGGAGGGGAAGACACATAAATTGCATTATTGTGACACAAATTGTAAGAAAGTAAGTAAACAAAAAAGCTTTAAAATCACAACAAATATTTAATTAAACTCAAATTGAAAATAATTATGAAGTTTCAACTCAAATTAAAGTTACAATTTGCATTATTGAAACATATTAGGATTGTCATTTCTTAGAGCTGTTAATATTAGGTGCAAACTAAAATTGCATGTGGCCTCCCTGTAATTTTTCCCTATTGTTGATCTCTTGTTATATCAGATGCATTTTAAAATTTAATATGTTTGTGCTTTACGTATTATTATTTCTGCAGAAAAGAGTTGTTGTAGCATTAGAAGATGCTGGGGTATTCGCTTCAGGTGGTTTGGTCAAGGACAAGGTATGTGAATATGCTGCAAAAGTTACAAATCTTTTTGCTGTTATGAGGACATTGTTATATGTGCTGGATGCGTATTGATAGGCAGCATAAGAATGTGTATTTGATGGTTAGATTATATTAAAAAATGTATTAATCTTTGTTCTGACAGTGAACACTTTGGGATTGATTAGTCACCTACTTTTATCACTTTTGTGCTGCTTGATAACTTTTTCCTTGGCTACCTATATGCAGGTCCTCTTCTGCAGCACAGAGAATGGACGGTCATCGTTTGTTCGGCAGTTGGAACCAGATTGGCATATCGACTCAAATCCTGAAATTATCTCTCAGCTTGCTGTATGTTACCCCATAATCTCAACTTTATTAGCGATTGTTAAGTTCATGCTCTGATGTGATTGTCTTAGTATATGATCTAATGATGGACACGTTATGTTGCAGAGATTTATCAAGTATCAACTTCATGTCTCACCTATTAAAACCGAACGAGCTGCTGCTAATGTGTTCAGTGCTCCATCCCTGGAACAATTCTTTGGATCCATATGAAATTCTGACAATTAAAGATGGGATGTTACTAAATTCATACTAGTTTGTTTCTGTCTGCAACTTGGATTCCACCGGTACCATACATGTTTTTTTCCCAAAATCTAGATATTCAAGAAGTAGGTTAGATTTTCAACCCAACGGTTGCTCCCCCTAGTTAGATGAAAGACCTGCTGTGTATCTTTGTATAATGCTTTCGGGAAGAAATTTCTTTCTTTATCCTTTTTTTTGGTTTGTGTGTGTTGATTCTAAATTGTGCATTTGAGTGGATCACATTCATACGTTCTGTCGAAGTGGCAAATTTTAGTAGATGTTTGTATTTTGATAGTAGTTACATGAAATGCCATCGTGGGCAATCGTTAATGATCATCCTAACTGTATTGGTTATTGAATCTTTGATTGTACAGTTACGTAACCCTTCTTCTTGTACTTGGTTGGTCCTCTATCAGGTTGTAACATTTCAGCATTGCCTTAATTTGTAATGGCCAATCCAAATGCATGCTCAGTTGTTGCACCTTTTATTTTATTTATTTTCGTAATGTCTGGAACTTCAAATTCAATATGAAGTTTTGGCTGGTTCAAGCGAAAATAAATAAATTAATAAATATAAATAGATATAAGTGAAGAGCACGAAGTGTGTCCAAAAAATCTTTAGTTATGGATCGCATTTAGTTTGTCTTTCCAATCTCTTCTGCACGATTTAGTATGTGTTTGTTTACTAGTCATAACCAAATTTATTTACACTTAACGCATGAGAGGAGATATTTTTCAATTATAACGAAACAAAGTTTCAATAAATATACAAACACTCAAACAGTTCATTAAACGATATAAAAACTATTTGCATGTTTTTTAAGCTTTAACTCAAAAGTTCTGCATACAATCATATGCGTGTTTTAAAAAATTAGTATTGTAAATCATAAAACATGCTTTATTTGTGCGCAGAATGAAAGTGTCCGTAAATTAAATTATAAATAAAACATAATAAAACTGAAAATGAGTTGAAAAAGATAAAAAAATTAAATTAAATTAAAAGTGCATAACGAAGTTGATTGGCTAATAATTTTTTCTGTAAAATAAATCTTTACATAGAAATGTGAAATAATAATGAAAATAAACTAATAAAACGATCTTACAGGAAAAGTAATTGACAGACCTATGCATCACAAATCATTTTAAATGACACAAGAGGAGCCAAAAATCCCCATTTTTTCAATAAAATGAATATTGAAATTGCTTTCTTTAATTTTAATTTCTTAAATATTCCTATTATTCTTAATTTATAACTGTAAACAAACATAAAATTATTTTCTAAAACTTAAATATTTCTATAACAAGTCAAAAAACTAATTAAACTAAATTATTGAATAAATCTTATATGTAGGAAATATTGAAACATACAATCACAATGTATATATATATTGGATATTTTAATACTTGAAAATTTAAAAATGTGAAAGTAGTTTCTGATTTTTATTTTTGTTGGACATTTTAATTCTTAAACTTTTCTAAATGTTAATATTTTAAGTGATGTGTATCATGAATTACTTGACAAAAATTACATCATGTATGATATAATATATATTTCATTTTATTTTAGTTTTTAAGATTATCATTTTTATATATTTTTAATTTTTGATTCTTAAAACATTTCATCTGTTCATCTTTATTATTCTTCTTCCTTCTCTCTCACTGGAAACTACCATTTTTTATACACTCTTAGCAATTGAGGATACTAGTTTGATCGATATATATAGTAAATGTGAAAAGATGGTTGATGCTCATAATGTGTTTGATCAAATGTTGCAAAGTAATGTGATTTTTAGACTACAATTGTTTGATATGTCATAATTGAAAATGTTGTGGAAACAAAGAAGTTGTTTGATGATATATTGTAGAGAAATGTAATTTATTGGAATGCAATTATGTATATATTTGTGAATGTGAATGTTTGAGTAATGTGGAAAAAAAGAAATAGAATTATTTGATAGTGTTATAAAAATATATAATTTTTTTTTTTACAACATAATTGATGGGTGTATGAAGTGACATGACAATATGAAGAAGTGAGATGATAACATAAAGATTATTATTTAAACAAGTTATGAAGATGAATGTTATTATTTGAGTTGCTTTGATGTTAAGGTATGTCCATAATAAATAGTTTAATTAGGTGGTAAAAGTATTTTTTGAGATGAAATTGATGAATGCAGATTGGAGGAGTAATTTTTTATAAATTTATTGTTATCTAAAAATTAAAATGTTTTAAAATCTAGAGACAAATGTGTAAAAATGATAATTTTAAGAATTAAAATAAAATAAAGATATATATTATATAACATTATTTTTATTGTGTAATTGATCATATATCTATATATTATTATTATTATTATTATTTATTAATAATATTTAAGTTTAAAGACTAAAATATTAAAAAAATTGTTAAAATTTAAAAATGCCTACTTTTCCTATCTCTAACATTAAAACGAGAGTCTAGGCTCGTTGAAATTATCATATTTGTGACCAGCGTTGCCCAAGCCCTAAACAAGAAAGAGAACAGTGAGATTGAGAAAAGGGGTGAGTCGGGTCAAGTCGTTGCTGAAGGACCATTTCTGGTCGACCTTCCGAAACTGCTTCAGTTCACACTGTGAAGTCCTACATCGCACACTTTTCTATTCAATCTTCAACTTCAAGGTACCCTTCATTCCTCACCAAATTGCTCACAACGAATGCAATTTATTTATTTTTAATTTCTTATCTTCTATTTGCTCTTTACGATTATTTTCTCTTATTATTTTCGTCGCATTGTCTCAGCATCGACACTGTTGGCACAATGTTGGGAAATTTTGGATTTAGGGTTACGTCTTCTTCGCCTTAGGAATTGAAGGATATTATTGATTATTCTCTATAGAATCATTGGCACACGGTATAGTTGAAGATGGTTGAACGAAAGCAGTTCAAGACCAAGTTATGTGTGCTGTATCAGAGAGGTCGCTGCACGCGCCATAATTGCTCCTTTGCGCATGGGAGTGCCGAGCTCCGACGATTCCCTGCTTCATACAGTGGTATATTTTTATATTTTGCATTGCTTATGTGTGAGGTTTTCTGTATGGTGGGGTTGTTTAATTGAGTCTATGTATTGCGAATTCAGGTGAGTGAGACACTTTATTATGTGTTGATGTTAGTTGAGGGATGTTTGATGGGTGGTTGATGCATTGGAAGCAAGGCTACTGTGATGGGTTACTTTGGGGTTTTGAGTAACAGTGCCTTAGACAAGTGCATGGCTGGTTGGGTATGGTAAAAAACTTTCACGAGTAAAGGAAGATGCCTCTTTATGTTTGAAGGTGTCAAGCTCTTTTATTTGAGTAGAACTTTATGACCTATGAAATTACATGGAAAAGAAAGAAATGATGGATGAATTGGTCTTTCTGCCATTAGTTACTCATTAAATATCAGAGTTTTTTAAAACTTAAGGTTTTGTTTTGCAATTTTTGTTGCTTGGAGTCTGCCTTGAAAATATAAGGTTTAACTATAAAGAGTGGATGGTTATGCATTACAGAAATTTTGAGAATGTTTAATACTGCCTCTGATGTTGTCATATCCATCACCTTATCATCATTTTCCTCCTCTGGTCATTATTTTCTTCATGATATATTAGCATGGTTTGTAGTAGTTCATCTATTTATAAATAATCTTTTTGCCACTATTTGATTGACTCTATCTATTCCAGCAATGTGCTAACATAGTTATCACACATAGTGGCCAGCGCCAAAAATGCTACAGTGGGATGACAGCTATTTAGGAATTTTATATACAAATTAAATAACTTATACTATATATGAATGCTAAAATATTTAAAAGAAAAACTAAAAATCTGTGACATACTGAAATAGATTATAGACTATTCTGAAATAGAAAAGTGTGAGGAAATAAATTTGTAAATTATTTAGAGACATGTTTCCACTTTCACAGCATTCCTGTAAACTATTTATTTATGTCCCAAGCTTGTTTTATTGACACTGTTATTCCATTTGTTTAGCTGAATACCATATTCTTAAGACTCTGAGGGACATGGATACTTAACTGATAGACTGGTCCATATGTCCATTGATTCTGTGTAAGCAGACAGAAGCTTAAATATGCAATAACAAATGGCATGCGGGATTAATATGAGATTAATTTATTCAATGATAGGAGATCTGATCACATTATCTTGTTGAGACTGTTGTATTTCCAGCAGTATGGATATTTCATTTTAGATGATGGACTCTTCAGAAGGATTCTGGTGATTGGTTTATCTTAAAGGCAATGCTGGTGTTGTTCATGAAATTGTATTTTATTGGCTCTGTTTTTTTATCCTTCATTCCATGAATCTGTGGAACTACAGTATTTCCTGAGGATCATGATTAGGCTTATGTGGATATGTCTGCTAGCATCATATTCTGATCAGAAGCAACTAAAGCAAGTTCAGCAAGTTTCCCAATCATTTCATATAAAAATTCCACTGCTTGAGTTTATGGAGCTTATGCTATTCCTTTTTGCTGATTCTTCTGGATATGATATGGCTACATGGACAAAGGCAAAATGGGATTATTAGTGTGAATATGATGTCAGGAGAAATCAAATCTGATAGCTAATGGGTGGCTTTTTATTTCTTAAGCATCTTGGATATATCTCTGCATTTGAGATTGTATTTTAATCTTACTTCTCAACAAGTTGGGGATGTGAAATGTTCTTATTCCATTGCTACCTTGATTACACTTCAAAGCATAAGCTACATATGTGGGTTTTACTATATCTGTCATAATATGAGGGTGCTAGTTTCTATCACGTTTTTGCTCTTACATGGGAGGCACTATTACTATTCAATATTATGTTTCTCTTGTTATTCCTGTTAATGGTAAGCTTTGTTTCATTATTATTTTATCCATTCTGTTTGTATCTTCTGAAAATTTTTCTGCTTTTGATATTAGTCTGCAATAATGGAGCTTCTTTTTTCATTTCAGGGAGGAGAGACTATTTAGGTGATGACTTGAGGGACAAACTTGACAGGAGGCATTTATCACGTCGAAGGTACTCACCAGCTCGAGATGCAAGAGGACACCAGACCATTCGTGGTCAGACACAACATCTTTAGATACCTTCTTGCTCACATTATTTTAGTATTACTTCTTAATTATTTGTACCATGGAAGTCCGGCTTTTGTCACTTAAGTATATTGAGAGTGGTGTTTCCAAAACCTCGAATGTTTTGATATAACCATTTTATAGATTTTCATTGACATTTAAGCAAGGGACTGTCAGAGACATGACTTATTTTTCTGTTATGTCTTCAATCTTCTGTAAGCTATTAAAAATGTGCATTGAAGTCATGCACCTGTTTACCTGTGCATAAATGGGATTATGCAATTGTACACGTGTTATTGTGGTTTTATTTCTTCATGCAAAGATCATGTATAGAGAGAGTGATCCACATGCTGTTTTACTTAATGATTTGTCCATTTCCTCTTTCCTGATGTTCTATGAATTTAAAATTGCAGACTACAGTCCTTCAAGGTCTTTGGAGAAAAAAAGGTATATCAACATTAATCGTTATTGATAATTTTGTTTACATCCTTTAGTTTTTGTTGGCACTTATTGTCTACTACTTTTGTTCTTGTCAAATGTAAATGTGTATTAAAATATGGTATATTTGGGAGATAAAACTGTGAAATTCATAATTTTCTTGGAATGGATTTTCCTTGAGAGAAAGAATGCAAGATACAGAATTCATAGCCCCCTCTAGAATGATCCTCTCTTCATTCTTCTAACTTCTGAAACTAACTTGCTCACCTACCTCTCCTTTTCACCTAATTGCCTTTTCAGTTGCAACATTAAAAGAATTGGACCTCTCTAATTCAGGCCTCTTAACTCTTCTACTATAGATCACTGAAACATGCTATGCATATCAAAAGCAACAGTGTACTTCGTGTGCCATGAAATTTTCTACTATGTGTAATTATGAGATATGTATTTGAAGTTTCCATTTTTTGTTGGCTTTTGGTATTAATCTTCGAAATTATCCTTTATAGTAGTCACATGTTGTGGGCATAACAGCCTTGTTACTTAAAAGTGTTTCTTATGATTAGAGTTACAAGGTTAGCCAAGTTTGACATTTGATACCAAGAATATGGTGAGGAAATTTCTTATCTTGAAATTCCATTCTCACTTTCCAGGCACTTAATGACTGGAATGTGCCTCTCTTGGGCCAAAACTCTTTTGTTCAAGTATTATTTCACTTTGTTTCAGATCCTTATTCATGTTTAACATAAATATCAGTAATTTCTGTTTCAGTGACAGAAGACGTAGGAGAAAACAGGGCATTACTGGCCAAAGTGATATTTCTGAAAATTTGAGAGTCTCAGATAGAATTCGAGATCGAGTTCAAGAAGGAAAATTGCTTTCCTCTGGTTCTAGAAATACACTTGAGGAGCAGGTTTGGAAATTCTGTTTAATCATTCTGCTGCAAATATATGTGAAATATTCCCTTGTTTGTTCTGTAAAATAACATGTTTGTTTTTATTCTTGGAACTGTGTGCAGCTGAAAAAAGTGTATTCAGATATCAACACTCTTGAGAATCGAAAATTCCAGCTAGCGGTTAGTTTTATCTCTTATAGTTTGCATTTTCTCACATCATCCATGTGTTTTGTCTTTGTTAACTTAGAAACATTGGTTACCTAATGTGTAACACCTAGGTTCGTAAGTGTGTGGACTTCCAAAGCATTTGTCTGAAGTTGTTTTATTGAAACTTATTCCTTAAATTTGTTGCCTAATGATGCTTCCTGTCTTTTTAAGGAAATGACTAAGTTTTTGTCTTTAATATGTGGAGTTTTGTACTTCACAGTCACAAGCCATCTCAGCTTGCTATTGCTTGGTGCCAATAAAAACCATTTCTTAATGATCCTAGGGTGCTTTTCTGATATATCCTCTCTTGCTCCGTTTAGTGTGTTTTAAGCATTAACTTCGATTTTCGTCCTGACTCCTGTAGTGTAAATATGTGTGGGCTGTAATTACCTGGATAGTTTTTCTTTTTAATGGAAGCAATGTTCATTAGGCTTTTGGTTGTATCTATGTAGTAAATAGTGATAGGCATTAATTAAGTCATTAAGGGAGTATCGTAGAAGCTGTTAAGCTGCTATTTTTCATAATTATATGATTTATGTAAAATATGATTTTAGACAAATTTTGATATGAAATATTAGTTGGTGTTTGGAAATACTTTTTAATGAAAAATAATCACATTTCTTAGAAATGAAACTTTATAGGTTGCTGCCAAAAAAAGCTATTATTTATATACCATTGAAATTTGATCTTTATATTAGCTCTACTATTATTTCTATTGATAAGTGAAGGTGATTTTTCCCCCCTTAAAACTAGTAATTTTCTTGTTGATTGCATGAGTATTATTAAATTAATATAATTTTTAAAATAAAAAATTAAATATATATTGCATAATTATTTTTTAATTTTAAAAAGAGAATTTTTTTTATTATTAACAGTGAATATAATATTTTATGAAACAAGATTAAATTTAAGTGATATGATTGCTAAAATTAAAAAATAAATTAAATTCAAATTAAAGTAGAACTGAAAAAAACTAAATATTTAGTGCAGGAAATATTACATGGCATAACATAATAAGGAAAACAATAGCTTCTAAAAATGCTTTAATTTAAGAATGAAGACTCGAATTTAATATGAAGAAATAACAATAACAACCAAGCCTCATCCTATTAGGTGAGGTTGACTACATGAATCATGCAACATGATTAAGTTTAATCAAATCCAAATTTAATATATTGAAGTAGATAAAAAATATGCTTAAAAAAAAAGCTATTACTGGTATAAAATACTATGTTAATGGTCAAAGGTGGCGTCTGTAGCAGTAGCTCACCAAAGCTACGGTTCCAATAGATTGCCAATTACATTTTACCGTAAAATGATAAAAATCATTAAAGGAACATAGTACTTTAATCCATTGAAGCATTTTGCTTCAGCCAAGCTACAAAGTGTGCCTCAGAAAACTTTTTGATTGTGCAAACAAGTTGGTACTTGTCTGCAGATGAAACTCAGACGAAGTCTTAGAAATTTTTTTCTTAACTTTTGTTTAGACTTTCCAGATATCCGTATTTTGCTCTCTTTTTGGATAGGGGGAGCAAATTTATGTATTTTTATTACATACCATGTTTGGTGAAGTATGAAACATGGATGTCCAATTATCTTCATCAGGAATGTCCAATTATGAAGGCCGTATGAAATAGCTTATTTCATATGTTGTCTCTTCGAATTCTAATGAAATTCACCTTCCAATCCACTTAGCTAAATTAAATGGGAAAATAAAATCCTTTGATTCTTGAGTTAATGCTAATTATCCTGTTGAGTTTCAATTAAGTTCAAGTCATGCTTTTTGACTTGTGATGTGTAAAAATGCATATTTTTGAAGGTCTACCTTGATGAGAGTGTTCAAGAGGCGGATAGTCTTAATTCTAGAATTCAGGAACTTGAGGCTCAATTATGCAGAGAGGATGAGGAGTGTAAAAGGTACTGGAATTTTTCACTGTGCATATTTTGATAATTTGTGTTACTCCTCTCCATTATTTTGGCATTTTTTGATAATGATGTTCTCTTTCCTGGCACTTTTTCTTTGTTCTCTCTGGAAAATTCAGAATCACTTCAAGGATAAGGAAATTTGTTAGAGTGCACAATCATATCTCACTGTTACAAGATGACTTGAAGAGGCAAGTTACATTTTTATCCCAATTTACTTTGCTTTGCAGACTTGTAGTATGCTTTAGTGTCGTTTGATGTGTTTAACACACTCAATTTATTGAAAAAAACTAAAATAATCTGGTATGAGTCGGATTATATGAATGCAATACTTTCACAAGATTTCCCCCTAACAAGGAGACTCCTCCTTCTGCATACTACAAACAACAAGCTATATTCTGTCTTAATTCATATACATTAACAAACTCCTTAAGACTACCCTAGAATAACTACCCACATCATAAAACCTAGCTGTATAAATACACAACTGCCCAACACATTTCTAATACATATATCTAATATTGTCCATTAAGTCTGACATTTATTTTTCCTAACATAACCTTCAATGGCCTCGGGCTATTTGGCCTAACACATTCTATATTGTTTCTTTTTGGCCTATCACATTCTATATTGTTGCATCACTTCATGTATAGGTCACAAGTCCGACTTCAAAGGTTCGGAGATCAGCTTGTCTCAGACATTTCTAGAGTTGGTGCCAATGAAGAAGATTTAAGCATTGATATTGTAAGCAATGGTGAAAATACTGGTCTTCCTCCAATTGTCAAACATAATGTGGAACACAATGATACATCTTCCCACAGAAAAAGGCTGCATGTAGAACGAGATGCTTTGGAAGAGTTACAACAAGGTAATTATTAAAAAATATAGTAATGTTGGTTTTGTTTAACTATTTCTGAATTTTAGAAATATGGTAGCCTTCGGTAAACAAAACAGGAGGAGGCTCAAAACTGAAAACTTATTTCATCTCTGTGTGGGGATGGATATGTTCTTACAAGTTACAATCAATAACCCCACAAGTATGTGTGGCCTTTTTGATATTATGTAGAATAATGTAGAATCGACCACATGCATTTGAGAATGTTATTATGTGGTAAAAGTTTCACCCAATCCTAGTATGCTTATTCCCTATTAATATTCAATAAGAACATGAAGATATACATGTATATAGCATGCTGTAGCTCAGTTTATTTCATCGTAGTATTCAATATTAAAATTTTGCTGGCTTTGCACTACAGGTATGGCAGACTGCTTGATGATACTGTAACTGATTGCCAAAATCATATCCTCGAATTTTATCATTGATTTTGATTGTCCTTTGAAATAAAAAGCTGTGATAATTTAATTTGGATACTATTTTGATTGTTAGCTTGCTTGCATATCATGTTTTCATTCAGAAATAAGGACATTTGCAGATTTGCTTCATTTCTTCTGACTTCTTTATTGTTGTGTTTCGCTCTGCAAATGTTTCATTTATATATATATATATATATATATATATATATATATATATATATATATATATATATATATATATATATTCAAACTGTTTATCACAACCTCACCTATTGAGATAAGGCATGGTGGTTGTTGTTGTCATTGCATTTTTGTTATTCATGCTGACATCTTTGTAATGTGCATGCAGATAAATCAAAAGATGGGCATTTGGTTGAGACAGCAAGAACTAGGAAGCGTTCTCGCTGGAATATATCTGATCAATTGAATAGCAAGGGTAATGAGGGCCCACACAGTGGAACTGAAGTTGCTAGACCACTAGATCTTGTAGGCAAGCACAAGAGAGGAGTAAGGAATTTTTCTAACAACCTTTGTTTTAGTGTGTTGCATTCTTGGCAGTTTTGTCCTTTGGTAGTAACTTTTTTTTGTTCCATTCATACATCAAACAGATGTATATCATGTAAGTCTTGAAAACGATTTTTGAAAGTTGACTATTGTCATGGCAAATGACCTTTTCCATTCTTACCATGAATGTGCAGTTGAAGGAATCTAGGATTGAAGTTCCATCAACCAGCATGGCAGCTCATGTGGTTGATGAGGAAGTTGAGATTGAACTTGACGACAGAACTAATATCAATGAAACTGCAAATACGGAAAATGAGAATGGAGTGGCAAATAAGGTGAAGGTAGCTCCACTTATGCTTCCCCTGGCTTTGATTCCTCGCAGCAATTATTCGCAGGTTGGTTCTCATGGTTTGCTTTTTTTACAGCCTTAAAATTAGACACTCGTAGCAAATATTTGTAACAGCACCTTAACTGTATGTGCAGTACGAGGGTAACGACGAGAATGTTGATGTGGATGGTCTTGACGAAGATGCAGCAGGGGCACATGTGGACATAATGTAGTTAATATCGGCTATTTCTAACTTTTTCTTTTGGTTTGGTGGCTCGAAGTTAGTTTGTTGAAAGCGTTAATAACTTGAACAGGAGTATTTTCAAATAGAGGGATAGTATGCAAAATAGTAGCACAAGAAACAAAAACAAAAGACTTGCAAGGATCTAAGGATACATTTATATTTGTGGATATAAATTTCATAGCATTCATAAAAATATATGCCAGCATTTGTGGTGGTCCTCTAGCTGATTGTCTATTGACTGCAGTACGTAATCCTCTAATGTCTATGAATTTTTGTAGTTTTCCGGATCTAAATTATTGGGAAAAAAATAATAATTAATTACCGAACACGTAACGTGCAATTTTCTACATTCAACAAACCTTTTTCTGTTTTTGTTTGGGTTCTCCATATCGAAGAGACTAATGGGATTTCCGTTTATCAAATTTACATGCAGAAGGTCCCTTTTCATGATTAGTTATGAAGGGTTTGAGAGTTGTTTCTGATCAACCTGGTTGAGGGTAAACACTCTTTCGTTTTATCTTTGTAAGGACAATGTAGAACGTGACGGGATGCAAAGTGAAGAAGTATTACCAATCTTTGTAGAGAGAGTTTGCATTTATCACGTTCCAACTAGATGTGTTGGGATTTGACCTTATGACATGCAACCGACGCGACTTTTTTCAGTCGATCAATTCCTTACACAGGATTTGGAATGGATGGATTTTTGATACATTGATCTGGATGATAGATAAACAAACTTTTTTGTATAATATCAACATTAAACTTACTCGTGTTCAAGTGTTTAAGAACATCGCACATAATACCAAACATATACGAGGCAAATCTTAATTGTAATGTACGAAAAAGGGTTTATTTAGAAAGGTAGTTAAATTTAACAATTTCTATGTTTTGACATAATCAATCTTTAATCATAGTTAGAAAACACCCTTAATGCATATAAAAAACTCCGACAGGAGCACGGTAACCAGTGGTAAAACACAAAAATATAATATGAAGCCCATACGACATTATCATAGTTCCTTATACTTCCTAATCTCTCTCCTTCAGTCCTTGTCTAATATTAATTCGCCTCATTTCCCTCGTGGACTCGGTGAATTCAACGAAGAATCCTCGAGTTGACTAAAACTGTTTGGTGTCTAGTGACTAGTGATAATAAACCTTGTGGTAGAGCTACCAAGTAATGCAACATATGATTGGGACGAGGCCCTTCTACTATTATATACTTTTATTATAATAGCCAACATCAATGTATTACGACTTCCAGGGTGATATTTTTGCTTGAGATTTGTTGTATATTCGTTATCTAAGTTGGGTCTATATCACCCTTACCAGCAAAATTATATGGACAGGGCAATTTTGAGCTATGGGCAACACCAATCGGGCGAGCACTGTAGGAATTGAATTTCTGTTATTAGAAACAAAGAATTTAATATTTGAAGCTTAGGAAACTATATGTTCGACGTATCATGTCAAGTCCTTCACTGCCAAAGGTGGTGAAATAGAGTAGGGAGATTAAGGAAGACATGCTGCTTTAGAAATTATCCCATTCCTTCAACCTGTTAGAACATTCCAATAGGTTCCCTTGAAAATTCATGTCAATCATAACAAAACAAGCATAAATTAGGTGAATTTCATTTTTCATAGATCACGGGACATAAATAAGACGTGACATGGATATATAGGAATATGATTAATTTTTAAAAATTATAAAACACCACAGGATTATAATATAACACATAAAATTAAAATGAAAATTAAGATAAAAGAGAATATACATTCATCTTTCTTTCTCTTACAAAATCCTAAACCGATGTCTATTAGAATTCTTGGTGAATGTAATGTGATAATATTTTTCTAGCAAATTGAATGTTCCGTGCATGTTTTCAAGACAGTCATCTAATTTGTATGAGACTTGTTTTGTACAACATTGCAATTCTCTAAACAAATCTTGAAAAAAGAGTTGATGTTTCCAAAACGAGTATAAGTTATTGTAAGTACCATAAATATTAAATTTTATCTAATTATTATGATATTCACGAGTATTCATGTTAATTTTAAAAACTACAAAAAAATATACAATGCAATTGTATTTAAAGTGTATGTGAAATATATAAAAATAAAAATTATTTGATTATATTATAATTGTTCAATTTTTGCCGAATTCAACAACAATAATAATGATGAATAATTATAATCTAATAGTTTAATTAATAAAAAAAGACAGAATATTAACTAATGTTCCTAAAGTACTGGGTTAGGAATTAAAAAATAATAATAAAAGACTCTCTTTTTCAAAATTTTAATGTGTTTTTAATAGTAAAAAAAATTATATATATATATATATATATATATATATATATATAAAGCTTATTTTTACAATTTTTTGTTAAACATTTTCATGTGTGATTTCTGTGAGTATAATTATTTGTGATTAATTTGCAACAGAAGTACCTTAACTCCATTACCACTTTTTAGTAATACGCAATTGATAGAGAAAAGTGACCAAAAGATTCGGTTTAGGTAAAGAGAAAGAAGTTTAAGTATATTTTTAATTTTTAAAATATATCATATTTTAATTTTAACCCTGGTAATTTATTTTATTTTAATGCTTATGTTTTTAAAATAATCAATTTTATACCTTTACTCATGTGACTTTATTAAAAAGAAAGAAAGATACACAATATAAAAATATCATTAATTACATTGTCATTTAGGAGTAACTAAAAAGTAAAAATTATAGTTAATAATTTTTAAAATATAATAACTCAAAGAATAATTTTATAAGAATCCAATTTAAAATATAATATATTTTAAAGTACAAGAACAAACACTTTTTTGTTTTTCAAAAAGAATATTTCAAATAGAAAAAAAAAAAAAAAAAAAAAAAAAGCTCTGTAATTCCTGAATGGAACACGTTATTAGCTAGCTCCTCGAACACTCTTGGAATAACGAGAGGGAGAAAAGGGTCCACACGAATGCACTATTTTCACTTTCACGGAGAACCCAAATTCAAGTTTCTATAGCTTATGACTCACCTGGTCACTCACACCCAACTCGCCCGAGTCACACCGTTCATTCATCGCTTCAAGCCTTTACTCGGAACCCCAATCTATCGTTCCCAAACCCTTTTTTTCGCCCAATTCTCAACCAAAACTGCCACCATCCGCCGCCGAACTCACCCTCTTCTCCGGCCGGCGATGGACGCGCAACCGGCGGAATCCGGCACGCCCGCCGTCACGGGCGAAGACTTTGTCCACATCGCGGATCTGAAAATGGAGAGCTTGTCCGAGAGTATGGTTCGAATCGACGTGACTTCCGATGCCGACGCCGCTTCGTCCGGTCCTGAAGCGCCGGCGGATTTTGATCGCCGTCCGGCGATGCTCCCGGAGGAGCTCTGGAAAAACGTAGTGGTTCTGTCGTGCGAGTCCACAGCCGAGGGCGGTGTTTGCGATGTCTACTTGGTTGGCACCGCTCATGTCTCCGAGGTATTTGTTGCTGTCATTTGGAAGAAGGTTGTAGGTTTGGTTGCATTATACATTGTCACCGTCTTGAACCAGAACAAAAATTTAGGGTTTCTGCTCTATTCGCGTCAATTGGAAATTTTTATTATGTCATTTTGTAAAGGATGAATGATCTTGTCTTCTCTTCATCATGTTGAGTCTTGTTGTAATAAATTAGTTGGTGAATTCATATTTAGAGCTTCATATTTATGCTGAATTTTGTTGCAGGAATCCAGCAGAGAAGTTCAAGCTATAGTGAATTTTCTGAAACCGCAGGTGTTTTTTTCCCCTTTGAACTTCTTTGATGGATAGATCATTCGCAGCTTGCTTTTTATTGCATGCTGCCCCTTCTTCACCTGGTAAAATTTTGATGATGAAACCCAATGGGCCTTTGTTTGCCGCAGGTTGTCTTCCTAGAATTGTGCTCGAGTCGTGTGGCAGTGCTTTCCCTTCAAAATCTCAAGGTTTCTATTCTACTCTTTAACCTGGTTCTTTTTGGTAAATTTTATATCGCTTTCTTTGTAGCTTTCTACCCTTTTGTGCTGTCTTGTTTCAATTTGTAGTTTATGAGCATAAGTATGCAAAATCTGGGAAAATATTTTACTGTTAGATAATTTCAGCATCCTTCAGTTCCATCTTAGATGAGTGAGGGTTTGAAAGATGAAGTGTCAGATCGCTAAATATTTGTATGGCTTACTGGTGTTTCACTAAAGGAGGAACATTGTCAGTTGAAAAAAAAAAGTTGGCTTATTTACCTTGAAGATTTAAACCTTTTAGTTTCAACTTATGAACAGTTTATTTTGCCTTTTTCACAAAGGTGAAACAGTCATCTCCTGAAGCTGTAAAATGATAATTACAATTATTGGTGTTTAATGACCTATATGCATGATTCAAATTTAGCATCAAATTTCCTTTATTCCATCATTCATAATTTTGGTTCTCATTCAGTTATCTGTTTGTTTATATACTTTTAAATTTTCTTTTGCTTCTTGTAGGTACCTACTGTGGGAGAAATGGTTGCAATGTTGAAGAAAAAACATAACATGTTTGAAGTACTTTATGGCTGGTTCCTTGCCAAGGCAGGTTTCTATGTTTGACTATCATATGTATCATTCCTGTTAGATTTTCAAATATTATTCTTTGACTCCTTCTTACTCTAGAATGCTGTATTTGATATTTCTCATATACCATGCTTTTCTCTCCTTATACTGACAGATTGCTAGTAAGCTTGAGGTCTTTCCTGGCTCTGAGTTTCGTGTGGCGTATGAAGAAGCCATCAAGTATGGTGGCAGAGTGATACTTGGTGATCGCCCTGTACAGGTTGGATGAGTTTTTGAATGATGGGAAGAATTCTAGTCCTCATTTGATTTAAACTTTTTCAATAAATTATAGAGTCAGTTTATTTGAATGCATTGTTCCCAGAATATGACTCCTCCATGTACACATTGTGCTGAAAAAATTGTTTTTTTAACACTTTTCTCTAGAAGCTAAAAAGCTGGTAATGCGAGTGTACTGTAATGTATTATATGTTAGAATGGTTTGGACTCTTGGTATACTCTTGAGGTTAAATTCATGTTGCATAATCACTAGAAAGGTTGATAGTACATTTAGTGACTGGACAAGGATACTACATCAATTTTTTGGGTCGGGGGAGTGGGGTGGTTTTCTGTGTTATAAGAAGTTCCTTATCTCCTTTGTAGCATATTTTGTAAATTAGAATACACTTCATCTTCGGAAGTAGGGTTTCCCCTATATGCGGTATGGGGAGGGTTAGAGTCTGTCACAATGACTAGAACCCATGGTCACTGTGTAACAAGGCAGCATTTTAAGGCTTGCCCTCTAACTCTTCTATCCTATGCAAGAAATACATTTTCTTGTTGAAATTCTCAATCTCTTAAAATACTGACTGGACAATGTTCAATGCTTACAAATTACTTTTAATTATTTTTATAAGCATGGGAGAAATGTTGAAATGTTACAGTTTAATTCATGTAATTTTTAGTTTCAATATTTATTATTTTATTATGTGTGCTTTCAACTTGATTCATGATGGGTGGGTATGCCATGGAACTTTCATGCTTACTAATTAATGGGTTTTGACTTTGATTGAGACAGATTACATTAAGGAGAACATGGAGTAAGATGCCACTTTGGCATAAAACAAAATTGTTATACTCTCTACTTTTCCAAGCAGTTTTTTTACCCAGCTCAGACGATCTTAATAAGATGGTAAACTTCATAATCCTCATGCACTAATTATAAGTATGAATTGATTGTGATTGTGCTAAGTTGTCGTCTAGGTCCTGACTTTGATTTGCTTTCTTCAGCTGAAGGACATGGATGACAGTGACATGCTAACTCTTGTAATTCAAGAAATGAGTAAGGAGTTTCCAACTTTAATGGAGACACTCGTGCATGAACGAGATCAGTAAGTCCTAGTGCACTTAGTTCAATTACTGTTTCATTTATTGCTTGTTACATGTGGCCTGCTTTCTCTTTCTTTAAAGAATGCTTTGGTGAACATTTGTCACCCCAGTTGTATTACCATTTAGCAGCTGGGTCCTTGGAGGGTATCCCGGATGTGGTTCTCACATTGACATCATCTGGATATTCTAGCATGGAAGCTTGGACTAAGACCTTGAGTGTCTTTTTGTTTCAGAGCATAGGAATCATAGGATATGGAAAAGCCTTTGAATTGATTGTTCTGTAGAGATATTTTTGGGGTGGGGGTGGGGGTGGGGTTGATATTGTCTAGCTATGTTTCTTGACTAGTCCACCAGACAGTGGTGGTGATAGATGAGAAAATTTTTAATGTTTTGGGGATACAATGCTTCAGAAATCTAAAAAAAAAAATTGTAATCTTTTATGATTTGAAGAAATTTAAGGGGGCTACTTGATGCCAGGGCATACTGGGGGTTTAAATTAAATAGCTTCTTTACAAATGCAATCTGCACTATATTATAGTCCCTATCAGAAGGGACAAACCATTTTCCAAAAAAAGTATTTTCGGTGTCTATGATTGTGGACTGTACGTGTATCCATGAAGAAATTAGTGCATACTTTTCTTCTCTATTTCTTAGTGCTTTAAAGTGCTTCTATGATATTGGAACAAAAGAAAAATTGACCATAATTGTCTGAAATAGCATCCTCTGCTTTCTAATGGTGTTTTGGATGCTATTATTAATATAAAAAAAATCTTTGGTATGCCTTTCTTGCTTTTGATAACTCGAGCGTCCTTGTAATGTCTACTATCCGACAGTCTCTTCTCCCATATCTACTTAAAATTAGACCATGCAGAGACATTGTTAATGGTTTGGTAAATTCTTCAGAGTAGCACCGAAGATTATGCACGTTCAATTAGCCTTTGCTTTGTCAAGAGTTTTTATACAATTATGTGCTTATATTGAGTTCATAAATTATACATGATTTGACTTGTACTGCGTCTATCCAGGTACATGTCCTCCACATTATTAAAAGTGGCAAGTGAAAATAGCTCGGTTGTTGCTGTTGTTGGAAAGGGACATCTACAGGGAATAAAGAAGCATTGGAAGCAACCTGTTGTGGTTGGTTAAGTTATTTTTATTGTATACTAATTGCGATAAATGCCAGAGCTTATCCTCTGTGCGCTTTAAATCGGATATACCTGATATATATATATATATATATATATATATATATATATATATATATATATATATTAACTGCTCCAAAATATTATACAGTATTTTTAAATTTTGGCTCCCATTTTACCAATTCTAAAAGGAACCCAATTTTTCCTTGTTTTGCAAAGTTTTTCTTTCCAAAATCATAGAATTATTCTTTTATTATTCGTTTAGATTTTAACCTCAGTTTACCTATAAATTGTTTCAGATGAAGGATCTCATGACAATTCCATCTCCCAAACCAGCTATCTCTGCTATAAGAATCTTTACATCTGTTGGTGTTGCCGTGGCTGGGGTGGCTATAATATCAGGCGTCTATCTTTCATGCAAGAAATGACTTTTCTTGGAGAGATATTGTCATCTATAGGAACGCTGACGGATGAATTTAATTATGTAACCGATGAGTCAATCATCAACAAAGTTGATGCATAACCCATTTAACTTTTTTTTTTTTTTACATATATATCAAGAATTACCTTTTTTTAAAATCATTCCATGGAAATCTTTGTGAGATAAGAGTTAATGACAAATCAAATATGATACGACTAAAATCAGATAGTTCCTTTTTAAGCGGATGCCCCCGAGGGATAGAAAATTTTGCAGTTATTTGAATTTCTTATGCTATTTTCTAGCTTGCAAGATGATTTTTAGACCTACACTAAATAACAATGCATTTTTCTCTTTTTTTATGGGGGATTTAACAGATGAAAGGATTTTACAATTGGTAATGTCAAATAACACTTTTCACACTTGTATATAAACTAAACCCTAGATAGATGAAAGGATTTTACAATTAGTAACGTAAACACTTTTCTCACTTGAATATAAACTATATGGGAATAAATTCTTATATACTTTATCTGTCATGTTTAAATTGAGCGTGTTTGGAATAATTGTGAAAAGTATATTATTTTAATACTTGATGTCTAATTAGTTATTGTAATTGTTTATTACAATAGAATTTCTTATTAGATTTTATTTGTTAAAAACTGATTTTAATATGACCTATTTCGCTTGAATTGTGTAAAAAAATTATAATAAATTTTAAAATATAAAGTAATTTGTTTATGTTAATATTTTTTTAATGCGGTAATTTTCACATTTAGTATCAGTCCTCTATTACAAAATTGGATTTAACTAGAATATGTTTATTCTAATTGGTTTTATAAGTAAATTAATCATAGATCATCATTATTAAAATGGTTAATTTTATGATAATTATTATAAATTTTTTCTCTATTTGAGGTAACTATTTAATCTGCTACTGGTGTAAAAAGTTTACATTAATAGTATATTAAAATTGAATTATATAAAATATCAATACTAAAATAACCTGCAGTTAATAAAAATCTCATCATAGAATAACTTTTTAACTAAAATAACCTTTGAAGTTTTCATCAGCACCCTCCTTCAAACACCTCAATTCTCAAGGTTTACCTTCCGTCCACTGCCTTTTTTTTTTTTTTATTTCAGAAAATTAAAAAAGGTAAAGTGGTCTAAAATTAAAAATAAAATGAAAGTTTACGATTCGCCATATAACCAAGGGTTGAGATAGTTTTACATTTAATAACTTAACCTTCACAGAGAAAAATAATATATTTGAAAAACTTAGTTTAACGATTGAATAGCATTGAACTAGAGTGTTAAGTTTGTATCTGTAAATAAAGGATTTAGGATGATTGTATACATATTATAGGAATTGGAAATCGCATTCCATTCGGAAAAAAGTATATATACACATACGAGGGCAAAAAAACTGTATACGATACCCAGACCAATGTTTCATCAAATTCAACTCCCTTGTGATATGATTGCATCAGGCCTTATTTATCCACAAGTTTGTTTCAAAACTGCGTTTGTGCTTTAGTTTTCCTGGCATCATGGGTTGAACATCTGAATGCTATTTGGATGTTTTTTAACTTGCACGGAAGAGGAAATTATTCTTATATTACAAATAAGAATCTTTATTTCATCATAACCCTCATACTATATTACAAAAACCAAGTGTATTTAGTGTTTTTAATCTTATTTTAAATTCCAAATTTATTAAATTCAAATGGAATATTAATTTTTTATTGTCCGATATGTCTGAACTGGAATAGTAGAATATGCCACTCAGTCTGAGCTAATGAACGTTTGGCTGCAGGAATCACGCACTCAGCAACCAGATTCCATGTCACTCCTCAAGCCTGTACATGTTCAATCTGGAAGATTTGCTTTGAAATTATAGAGTTCAGGAATAAACACAAGTTAAACACATTTTGTCCTGATTCAAAATAAGTTTGCTGCGAGATAAGCATCACATGTAATTTAAGATATTTTAGATAAAATAATCAAAATAAATTCTTCCTACCTATAAATTAAATAAAATTTTCACAATATATATTCCTAGAGGATCTCAATTCCCAGATTCAGCTTCAAAATTATTTAAAATTGAAAAAAAAAAAGTGATTAAAATGTTAGTGGCGTTTCCAAGACCAAATGGTATTGAGAAGAAACCATCAATCAGGATGACCACATGAATGGATATGGCGTCCGAGCCATTATACCAAGAGAAACAAAAACATCCCCCGGAATTGGTAATGGACGCAATGAAAATATAGAGATAAAATATTGAAAAACACAATATAACAACCACAAACCATCAAAGCAAAACAATTAAGCTATTATAATCAGGCATTCATTCAATTTATTCACACTTCATAATACAAGTTTATCTACCAAAGTGCTCAGTGGAAGGAGAAGTCGTTAAAAATAAGGGCTCACGGCGAAACCTTGTGGTATCGTCCACTGCCCAAAAACACCTATGTGCTTCGTATCATCATTGCACCCATTACAACAATTCCTAGTTACAAAACAATTAATAACATTCATCAGAACACAAATAAAAATTAAATTTAGATAATGGCTTCAGTGTGTGTAACAATCAGATCATTGATGGAAATCTCACTGAAATCCGCTAAGATAATTAAATTATCATCATAAGCCACATTTAAATAAGCTTTGCGAAAAAATCAATGATCTTGGAAAAAACTGAAGGCTAAAAAGGAAAATAATTTTGGGAAAGAAAATTTTGGGCAGATCAAGAGAATATGAATTATTCACACAAATCCCCTAATTACCAAGAAATTGGGAAATTTGGGTGTGCTCAGACAGCCAAGGGTTTGATAATCAACTTCTGAGTAAATTCCCAGATCAGAAACTCTAGTCCACAAAATTGCCTCGTCACAGCACACACAAAAACCCTAAAACTGTAATTTCAAAAGAGAAGGAAAAGATTCATGGCACAAATCATAGAAACAACGAAACCCCATTTCAAAAAGATGAAATCTATATGAATATTTTAGCTACGCATGGCACAACATTAAGAACCCCATTACACTATTTGATTGCGCTGACGAGAGAAGAAGAAGAAGAAGAGATTGATTAAAAGGAGTGGCAATAGGTTCGATTATATAGGCAGTGAAGGGTGAATCCCAAATTAGGGTTTATGGAGTGTGGGCTTAGCATTGAAAGATGCCCGTAATGTAGAGTGGGCTGGACCTTCAACTCCAAATCCAAAATCCACTTCCCTCGTTTTCTTCCAATATGCAAATAATTTAATATATTTTTATTCATTTATATGCATTTTATTACTGGATCTTCTAGCAATTTTGATTTCCTTTTATAAATTTATATAAAATATTAAAGTTTTACTCTCTCTCTATCCATATCATCAAAATTTGAATATTATTTATTTAGCTATTTAATATAAACAAATTGTAAAAATTACCAAAAAAAATAAATTATGTGTAGAATCAACAGAGCAGCAAGTATTTGACATGTTATACTTTAATGAAATAAATATAAGATGAATAAAGAATTATGTTATAAATAACATTAAGGCCCGTTTCTTCTTCTTTTTTGTGTCTGTGGAATAATTTTTCAGATCGTTTACAATAAGTAACTATTTTTAAATTATAAAAATATTGCTAAAAAATTTTTAATTTTATTTTTTAAAATTACACAACTATTGCGAGTTTTTAACTAGAAAAATACATTTTCTTTTCCTTAAAGAATACGAACACTGAATGAAAATGCAAAACTAAATTACCCAAAACATAAATTATAATTAAATTAGTTATATATAGACCCAGTTTGAGAACTAAACTTCTAGATAAAATTTTATAAAAATAAAATTTAATATAAAAAATTAAAAAAATATCTATAAATTTAAAACAACTTGTCTCATTAAATTTTAAATATATAAATAAAAGATTCAAAAAAATAAAAAAACATTAATTAATTTTAATTCATGAAAATAATTTTATTCATTTTACCACATAATATTTGACTCATATGAATAGTTATTGAGTTATCCGAATTAAGCGATTGGTGTATATATATAATTGTGGTTCAAGTGGAACAAAGCTATAATTTGAAATAGTCTTAAGTCAAGACATATAAAGCTTAGTGTAATATTTCAATTAAATCAAATCTCATACTTTAACCGCATAAAAGGGAAAACAATCGCGTCTGAAGAAAATGCTAAAAACCTTATACCCAAAATCAATAATAATGCACTCTCAATGCAGCAAAGGATTTATTGTGCTGATGACCTGATGTGTATCACAAGACATTCTCTCTTTCTCTTCTCCGCCTCTTATAACATGACTTCCCATCATCCCCCATTGGTTCCCACATTACTTGCAAAAACAACCACACCATAGGGTATCATATCATATATTATAACACCACTAGCTTAACATAAATAACGTACAAGACCAAAAATAAATAGTGCATGAAAAGTAGACGTAGAAATTGCACTAGGATGGGTCATTATCAACTACTTTCTTAGCTATTTACTAGTGCACAATGTTTCCTAATCTCTGCTTCAGTCCCAGTCTTGACTTTATTTCGACCCATTTTTTCCATGGACTTGGCGAATTCAAAAAAGAATCTTTGAGTTGACATACGTTGTTTGGCAATAATAGACCTTGTGGTAGAACTAGTAAGCAATGCAGCATCTGATTGGAACAAACCCCTTCTTTTAACAACTTGATTATAATACCCAAGATCAAATGTATTGCGACTTCCAGGGTCCATCTCAAGAAGTGTGGTGTTATCATTGATATTCTTACACTTAAAGGTCTTGAGATTTGTTGCATATTCACTATCTAGAGTTGGGTCTGTGTCACCCTTGCCAGTAAAATTATATAGACGAGTCGCAATTGTTGAGCAATGGGCAACACCAATCGTGTGAGCACCTAAAGGAATTCAATTTTTGGTGGTCAGAAACAAAGAATCTAACATGTGGAGAAAAGGAAGCTTATGTTTTTTACATACCGGAAAGCACGACAAGGTCATTTGCATCAAGTCCAGCATCGCCAAAGAGTGTTAGGAGGGTGGTGAGGTTGTGAAATGGAGCAGGAAGGCTACGCAACACATCTGCTGCTTTAGAGATAACCCCATCCCTTCGACCTGTTGGAACATTCCAATAAGGTCCCCCCTATAATTTCATGCCAATCATGGTAAAATAAACAAAGGGTCATTTCCATTCTTTAATTGTGAAAAAAAAAATGTAGTTAGATTATAAAATTAACATAAAACATAAGTTCCATTGAAGAGATGCCAATGTAATTTGTTTAAATAGAACTTTATAGTTCCTTTAATTATTGCAATATTTACATTAGTATTGTTATATAAAAAAAGTAAAATATATAAATAAAATGTAACTAGGAGTATTTGAAATGGAGGACAAAAATATGTGTCAGATATGGATAGGCATGACTCTACTTCCATTTTTGAAGTGTCGAATAAATACTTACTATGGAATGGACAGAGTCTCTGGCAGTCAAAGCTAATATATCAGCACAAGAGACCACCCCAGGGCATTCAGCTTCAACAAGACTCTTTATTTTGTCTATGAAGCCAAAGCCTCTAAGTGTAAGATTTGGAATAGAGTCCTTTTCAGCTTGATTGTTTTTTGTTGAGTTCAGAAGCACTGATCCATCACAACCCTGAAATCAATGCTAGATGTTAGCTCCTCTAAATTTACAAAATAATCATTAACTATAAATGAAAAATAAATATGAAATGAAAGCACAAACTTCAACAAAACAGTCATGGAAGTGAAGTCTTATGAGAGCAGCTGCTAATGATGGAACATGGGGGATATGCTCTTCAACATACTTCAAAATGATTTGTTCGGCTTTTGGACAACTTTTAGTATAGAAATCCAGTTCTAATTGAGCATGAGTTGATCCAATTAACGTTACAAGACAGATAATCAAAACCTTGAAGTAACCTTGGCTTCCCATTCCCATGTAATTGGCAAAGACCTTAGTTACCAGATATGGGAACAACTCAAATACTTCTTGTAAGAAGCAATTTCATTTCATTGTTCATTCCAGAATATTGTCCAGTTATTTATAGTCCTCAGTTTGGGTTACAATTAACGGGGCAAATCATAGAGATGGTCCACGCAGCATGTGATGTACATGTTACTTTATCATATAGTTCCACATAATAATGTTAGTAGTCAGATAAAAAAATAGTTAGTTGGGCATGTCCTTATAGGATAAGTGTTAATAAATTCCAAATAATATATATAGACCATTTCTTTTACATTTGCAATATCACATCTTCTTCGGACTGCATAGCTTTAATTTATTGGTCAGATTGAATAATAGTTAAAATTTTAAGAGTTTCTTGCGGTGGTTAACATACATGTACAAAGAATTGATGTGTATTTCCTAACAGCAAATTGAATGACTGTTTATAAGCAGGATTTAAGGAGAAATTTAAGAATGAATAGTTGACTTACTTGCTTTATATATGAACCCATATGCGGTATCCTGTCACACAATTGAGCTGTCCATGGCTTAAATTAAATTAACGATAGCTTCCTGTTGCCACCTATAGACTATTTGTTTGGACATATGAAATGAGAACGTGGCACATGAATTATAGAGTGGGTGAACAAACAGTTGCATGGTTTTAATCATTATGATTATGTATAAACACATAAAATACTAGATGATGACAAAGGTAAAGACAACACAGCTGGGGAAGTCTTTTAGTAAATAAGTCAGGAACAGCTTCTTAATCAGTTCTTATTGAATAGGTTTTTATTGTTCTAATTCAATGTCAAAGGAAAATAACAGTTGTAAAATACTGTATATATCCATTTGGTTTATCGTTAGAATAAATTTAGATAGAACTGATATATATATATATATATATATATATATATATATATATATAGATAGATAGATAGATATATAGATAGATAGAGAGAATATATCTAAGAAACTAAAGTTATTGGAGATTAACAAAAAACTTTAATTGTAATTACTAAACAGTACTAAGAATATCTAAGAAACTGCACTTAAGTTTTTTGTCTATAAAAATGGAGAAAATTATATTAAAATGTGTATATTTTTTAATGGAAGAATGTGATAATTTTTAAAGGTAAAATGAATGGGCCAGTGTCTTGATTTACAAGTGCCTGTTTGTTAAAACTTGAGAATTTGAAATTGTGTTAATTTGCAGGGATCTGGTCTAAAGGCACGTGGATGTAAAGTTGACTACAAGCATGCATTACAGTGATAAGCTTTAAAATTACAAGTCAAAACTACGTAGAGGGAGATAGTTATGGCTAATGTAGTGGAGAGAATATTGTAGCGTGAGCTTGACCAACATTTCTTGCTTAATATGTAAAACTATGACCTGGCTTTCCCTACCATTCAAACGAATAAGGATACCGGAAAGCTTACACCGGACCACCCCAGTACGAGTTGAAATTTGTCTGTATAAAATCTCTCTCTCTCTCTCTCTCTCTCTCTCTCTCTCTCTCTCTATATATATATATATATATATATATATATATATATATATATATATATATCAATTAGGGTATCAACTATAAACTTGATTTTTCAGATTCTAATTTTATTGCTATCATTTATCAACGTGTGTTTAAAAAGTCAAATTTCCGAAATATGACATCAACTTCAAGATATGATAAACTAATGGAGCATAAAACAGAAAATAATTAACTCTATTTAGCACTCAATGCAAAATAAAGTTATTTTAATATTAAATTCAAACACAATATCTCTGCATGCATGGCTAATTTCAAACCATAAAAAAGAAAACCTTAGAGTTCATAATTTATATGTAATATTTTACCACAGAAGCTAAAGAAATTAATAATATATTCCCCGTCCATAACTCCATGTTGTTGATGCAATCTCCAAAGATAGACCTTTAAAATTTTCAAAGGAACTAGCATCTATACTAGCTAGTCTTAATTTTAGTTTATTTTTTAGCTACAAATAAAGGCGAATAACTTCTCTTTCTACTCGTTTATTATTATTTGATTAAAACATTTTAAGAGTTACATGTAAAAGTGATTTATTTATTTATTTATTGCTTGTAACTGTTATACTATATAAAGTTTTATTTTTGTGCGACTCATGTCATATGATAACATTAGATTTTTTCCTTTTTCATTCACTCTTTTCCTTTCAAAATTTTTTATTATTTTTCGTCAATTTTAATTACAGCTTGATAATAAATAATAGATATATATTTCAATAAAAATCAATCAATCAATTAGACACCAGTAAAATATTATTATGGTAAATTTAAATATTAATATAAAAAATTAATACAATATTGATATTTTATTGCGTAATCAGAGTTTGAAAACTATATTATAACAATATAAAAATTTAAGTCAGTCTAAAATCACCCAAAAAAAAATCAATTAATTAAACATGAGTCCTCTCAATTCAATTAAATAAAGTTTCACACATAAAAATGATCTCATTTGCAAATTGCACGTAATTCATCAGATATTATAATTATTTCAAATAACATTTCTTTTTAAACATATAGATAATTCACACAAAAAAAAAAATTCTCTCGTGTAATTTTTGTTGCTCAATTTATCATTTTTTTAAGTCTCGTCTTTTTTATTTTTTATTTTCTTTTTAAGATTTTTTTTATTTTTTCTCATATTTAGCATTTAGTTAATTTTGTTTGCTTGTGTTATTTTGTAACTTCTACATTTTTCAATTATTAAAATGGCACGAAAGTTCAAAGAAAGGATTTCACAAAGAAGAAAAGGGAGTCATATTATACTGCAAAATAAGGTTAAATTTTTTTATCATAGTATTTTATTTCTATAAATATTTTCTTCTTTCTCAGAGGAATTTAGTGTTTTCATTGTTTAATTCATTTTTTTAAATTTTATCTTTTTACTTTTTCTTTTGATTTCTAATCTTCGTTCTCTAAGCTAAGCTAGACTTCTATGTTTTAGCGTTGGAAATAAATGAGTATACTTAATTAACTGTTAAATGCTTTATATGAATAATTTTTATATAAAATTAAATCATTGAAAAAATTTGATTTGGCCTATACTTTAGCATAATATAATTGAAAAATTAAAATTTGAAAAAGTCACTTCCTTTAATAAATCAATTCGTTTATTAGATCCAATAAAATTCATTTTGACATAAACAAGATTATGGAATGGACTAATAAATAATTTCAAATCAAAATTTAAATTAATATTAAAATTAAACTCATAATTAATTATATGTAAAATTAACTAATTTTATAAGGTATTAAATCAATAATATAAGTAACTACTCTACAACGTAAACTGCGAGAAGTAGGGGAATACATTGACCCCAAAATGGAGGACGGATTTTAAAACTGTCCAATTGCTGAATTACATGTTTTAAATCTGCCCCAAATGAAGAGGTAGCATGTCAAAGGTGAGACTACCATAGCCAACTTGATGTGTAAGGCAACGAATAGTGCTCAAAGCCTAAACAATCTACGTTACTACTGCGTGTCAAAAACAACCATATACTTTTTAAGTCAACTAGATGATGCCTTGAATTCATGAACCCCATATCTTGCATGGTCTTGTATCTATCATGCTTCGTGTACTAGTTCAACGATCCATGTTAACCAATGATTAGTTTTCATCAATAAAGAATAGCCTCTTCTTGATTGCAAGGGGATCGGATCTTGACGGCATGAAATCAAGAATGGAAAAGTTACAAAATATAAAAGAAAAAGGAAGATTCATATCACCTGTGGCCAAGGTTTTGATCTTTAAGCCATTATATTTTACACAAACACACAGAGAGAGAGAGAGAGAGATTTATTTCAGGTCCTTTATTTAAATCAATGAATGGAATTTCTCAAGCATAATCATCTTGTTTGCTATTGCATTAGGCTGTCGGCAGCTGGGTGAGGCCACCAGTGTCCTCGTGCTCGAATATTATATGAAAATGATCCCTTTGAATTTCATTTATGAGAAAAGACAATTGGGAAATTTTATATAATTATCAACATATGGGTAAATTTTTGAATTACCTACACCATGTAAAAGAAATTTTAAATTCATAATGCATACTTTCTCTTATGAAGATTCAAATGCACTGCATGGATCACATGCATGTTTTGACCTTGACAAGTGACTAGCAATTTTTTGTTTTGATTATATCATTCATTAATATGCCCTTGCTAAACAACTATGATATATCATTCATTTGTCTAAGTTCATCTTATAAACCCAAGTAAACTCGAGATGTCATATATATATGATATAATAACTTTCAAATGCTCAAGCATGCACATGCAAGGAAAAAGTTGCAGCTGCTCTTCATTATCATTATATTGGTTGCTTTGGGAGTCATAATTTCCAGCTTGGCACCTTCAGTTTTGAAATATTGAGAATATACCTCTAAACAGATTGTTTGTCTCTTCGGCAATCTTATTCTTCATGATGTAATAATAAATTCACAAAAGAATGCCAAAGATTCGTCATGCAAAAAAAAAATGAAAAAGGAACACCTTTTTGGCTTTTAAAAAATATAAACATGTTCCTCTCAAAGACCTCTTTTCTCAGATTTTTCATCAAAGCTAGCTGTTTATCTTTCGCTTTCTGTATGTCTTTTCTTCTCTATTCAAATACTGGCCCCTTGCGTTGTAAGAAAAATGTGTTTTTTTCTATTGTAAGTAATAATTTTGAAAAGGGAAAGAATCATAATTTAGCAGAACATGTTTCTTTTGAGGCGCAAATATAAGGAATAGAATGCTGCTATATTCACTCATTCAATAAGGAATGTACTTCTACCTACTACGTATTTCATATCTTATTTTTTATGCTCCACATTTAAAGCATTTTTTAAAAATATATTTATAATATGACTTGCCTAAATTTACTTAATTTAATGATGAATGGAGAAATTAACTCTGCCTATAATTTCATAGTTACGGTTTCAAGTTTAGATAAAGGAAAAAAGTTGTGTTTGCCTTCAACTAC